GAGCTTAAATTATTGTTATGATTGTTATCATATTTTTGGGTTTTATTTTTCAGCGTTTTCGTTGGAAGGCATTTTTTATTCATAACCGACGGGAAATTCAACACTTGTTTTTTATACTTTTTTCGTCAACGTTATTATTATTTACTTTCTCTCCATACATAATACTTTTCACAATTCAAACCATTTTTTTTACTCCTATGCTATTTGTAATCGTAAATATCTGTCAAACGTGATGTAAAACTGTACGTTTTTAACAACGCTACGTTACTTTTTTGACCGTGATTCAATAAAGTAAATAGAGAACTGATGTGGCAAAAAAAATAACTTTATTAATTTTTTATTAAAAGACTACATTTTTCATCGATTTATCCATTTTCAATGAATTTTCGGAATTTATGAAGTATTGTTTTGTATTTTTTTTTGAAGTTTACGCATTGGAAATTACAGGAAAAATATTAGATAAATATATTGGAGATAAATTTAATTACGGCGAGAGATTATTTATTTTACAAGCTTATTTGGAGAAATTTTTTAATACAAAATAATTATTGAACCTGCTGACCCATACAAATATTTTGATCAAATAACAATTGTATTTGTTAATTTTATAATTTGTAAATACGCTTGATATTTATTATTGATATTAAAAATAAATTATTTTTCATTAGTAAATATTTTCATTTACTCATTTTCATAGAATATAACTATCCGTTCCTTCATTACGATATTTTGTGAAATATTTCGTTGGTAACATTAATTTGTTCAGTTTATTTATGTATGAACTTAGTAGATAAGGTTTTTGCACTCGTGCGTTAACGCACACGCTTCGCTTGTTGCGCCAACACACCCTTAGCTAAAACCCCATCTACTCAGTTACATAGTTAAATATATTGTCAACAGACGGCGTTGCATGTTTTTAAATCAAAAGTTTTTAATATAAACTTAGTTATTAATATAAATTTTAAGATAAAATTTGAATTTTTAAGATCGGTCAAAAAATTAAAAGATATCTCCCCCATGAATAAAAAATATTTGTCGATATACATAAAAATATATTTTAAATATATACTAAATATATTTTTAATAGCTAACTTTTGGTCGATTTTCATATATATTTTATATATATTTTAGAGATATTAAAAATATGTTTTTTTTTTTTATATTTTTAGCTATGTATTTTTTATGCATTTTAAGATATAATTTGAATATATCTTTAATATATTTAAAATATATAAAATATATATGAAAATCGGCCAAAAGTTAGTTATTAAAAATATATTTACTGTACATATTTTTTATATTTTTAATATACTTTTTATATATTTCGGAATATCTTTTTTTTCATGGAGGCTAGTCGTAATACATAAAAATACTTTTTAGAAATACTGTACCGACATGGGTTTTCTCTGTGGTTTCCCCATGTCACTAATCCAACAGCCTAGTAGTACAGAAAGCACAAGTCGGTCCACAGCCGCAGTGATAATAAGGAAGTTGAAAGTTTGAATGAAATAAATACGTACGAAATATAAGGATGATAATAAGGAAAATATAGGAGCGAAAACGAGACGTGCTGAGGTCCAATAAGAAGTGATAATAAAAAAAATTGAAAGTAACAATTAGCCTGGTATAAACCAAGACCAGTATGCAAGTAAAAAGTGAATTATCATTATTACTTTTTAGAAATAAGAAACATGACGATTTTCATAAATATTTTTTAAAACTTACAAAATCTTAAGTCTACATTTAAAACTTCAAATTTAAATTTTGTCTAGAAAATTGAAAACTCAAAAAATTGACAAGGACAGTTTTACTCAGTATATACGCATTCAAATTTTTAATCTTAAATGTCTACTTTCTTATTAAAAAAACTTTGCAAAATCAATAATTCCGTAAAATTTAAGTTTTGTGTCCCAATAAATAAAAATTCATATGTGTAATAGAAAATATTGTCGTCCCCAGGTCCTCGAGTCGTAAGACGGGCAGAAATAATTCCCAGTTGAATAAACTTTTCCCGTGGCGACCTGAGACAATCATCAATCGAGTCGGGCAATCTCCAATTTTCCGGCTCGTATAATCTCGAGAGAAATTTTCGTTTAGCTGCGGTACGACGACGAGCTAGTAAAGTGGGTAGTGAACCCATCTGTACACGAACCTCCGTCCACGAGAAAACGTGGAATAACCAATCACTCGTACATATGACCGATACGAAACTAATTCCCCTTATCCCACCGGGATTGATTGATTGCACAAGATTTCATCGATTGTGCATTTTTATTTCATTTTATTCTATTCTCTAGAATTCAACCTCCTTTTCCTCTGTCCCACGCCTTCTATTTGTCTTCGTCTGTTGCGGTTTTCAGCCAGGCGTCTCTCCAAATCCTGAGCTTTTCGCCTTAATAGAAACAAACAGAAACAGAATTAGAAACAGGAACCAAACTAAACCAAACGTAGATATGCAGAAACAGAAATAAAGCCACCACCTAAGAAAGCCACCCCCATACCTCAATGCAACCACTCAAGTTACCCTAAGTACTCGTCTCTAATAAAGAGACCAGTGCTGACCTGTACAGGCAAACAGTAAGTAAAGTGATTCAAGATTTAGCAGCTAGACAACAAAGAGTGAATCTATGTACGGCTTCCTTTCGTTGGATCTCGACGTAAACGCACCGGATCAACAACCCTTTCGATAAATCCTCGGGGTATTTTGCGGCGATCCATAACACACAATCCTAATGTAGAGTGTCGAGTGCGGAGTGTGCAGGTGTGGATGCACCTATCCCGTCGAAGCAATACAAGCTATAAGCCAGAAGCTTGCACCGTACTACCACGGTACTAGTCCTACTCCACATCCACAATAAATGTAGTAAGCGCCTGCGTTTACCCCAGCACTTGCGCAACTTCGATTTACCCCGCATATATCCACAAGCTCCCTCCCCTGGAACTCCTGCCCCTTCTTCAACTTGTTCTTGCTTCTTGCTCCTTCCTACGGCAACTCCTATATCTATATTCATAGATACTAACTAAACCATTAGAGAGAGAGTTTGTCTGACTACGACACCGACCATGACTATGACTAGTCTCTTCTACCCCTGGCTAACCGTCGGCTCACTACACACTACACGCAACTCTACTGCTATACTGTTGCAAACCCTGCACTCATCTCAACTACCCCTTCTTTCACTCCTTCACCATCTACCATCCACCATCCACCCTCAGAGTCTACACCACGCTGTCTACTCTCCTACTATCAAAATGTATGCATCCCCGTTGGTAATTCTCGCCACGCTACGAAGGAATCAGCAGTAGCATTGCGCGCTGCTACGCGGAACGATCTTACGCGTTATATATTGGATTGGATTGTATTGTACAGTTGCGTTTATTTATACTTATTGTGATTTTAAATACTTTTGTGGTTGGTATTAGAATTTATGATAAAAAAAATTGAAAAAAAAGGTTCACCAAGAGAGCTGTTTTTCAATCACTTTAGGAGAAGGAAACAATTTACCGTTGAAGGGGTTGATTTCTTACCTGTCTAGTGTAGTTCCTCTGCAGAATATAAGGAATCGGTACGGCGGAACCCCTGGAGAATGAGGTCCCGCCGGAAAATCTCGCCGGCCGGCGGATAACGCTGCTCTGTTAAAGTTTTTGTTGGGTTGTTTATGGGGATATTTATGTTTTAATGGGAACATGTGCTGGTTGGAAGTATACAAATCGGTTAGATAAATGAATATCCTTATGAGAGAATAGTGTACCTGCGGCTCACCACTGACATCCTGAGCAATAAACGTTTCATGCCGTAAATGCCATAAAGTTGGGCTTTGGAATTTAAACCGACGGATATAACGACAACCGGGACCAGGACCAGAGAAAAGGAAAAAAAGAGAAGAGAAGTTAATAGAAGAGAAAGAGGAAAAGTGGATGGGAAGGGAACGAAAAGAGGACGAGGTTCGTTTCTGTCTATACATTATTCAACGGACCGTGTGTTTTTGCTTATACACAAACTAGTTTTTAATTAACGTTTTTCCGGTAAATATATGCAGTGGTTACGCGAATTTTAGCCTTTTTTAACGGAAAAAAGGATCTTTAAATAATTTATTTGTTTTTATTTTTACCCTGGGAATACTTTTGTGGGGATGGTTGGTTACAAATGCACTGTTTTTAAATTTTGTGGTTATTTTTATTGTGTTTGTTGTTTCTGGAAAATGTAAATTAAACTTTTGATGATTGTGTTGTTTTACCGCTTTCGAAAGTTGTGGCAGAGTAAGGAATTTTAGTGTTATTTATAATGTAACACTCAATAACTGCCAAGTTAACTTTTTGTGACGGTTTAACTCTGAGAATGTGTTGCTTGTTGTTAATGACGTTGAAATGTGGGAAATTACCACACTATATATGTTTTTTTGATCACGTTAATGCATCGACGTCAAGTAGCGCTTTTTGAGTGTTATTGGCTGGAAATATTGCAATGTTTTGGAATTTAATTTTCTACTGTAATCTCGCTTATTGTAATTTCGAAATTGAAAATTTAGTTACCGACGAATCATATCAGAAAAATCGATTAAAATGATAAAATAATGATCTAGTAACTTTTTATATAATTAATATACGGTAACTCAAATTGTTATTTTGATGAGGAGTTTAAACTTTTAGATTAAAAAATTTTATTTTGAACAAACTAATTAAATCGTGTTTGCAAAATATAAATAGACTATGTACATTCGTAAAGCTCAATACCACTAGTAGCGGACGCGGTTACGACGCGACTTTCAAGCCAATGATTCCGGGATTGAATACATTGAATTTCAAGGAGTTTCAAATTTTCTAGTTTCAGTAAATGTTTATAAGGAAAACAATATACCATTAATACCATGAATTAAAACGTCGAAAAAAATAACACACTGATAAAATTAATTTTCTTTAGTACAGTTAAAGTTTTTTGTTTTCATATAAAGGACAAAAACGTGTCAAGTAAGAACAAATTAATGTTAATTTGTTTACAGAATATACTTGAGTTTCTCTTTCACGTCCTTGCATATGTTGAGTCAACACAAAAAGATGTAAATTTGAGTTTCTTGTTTATTTAAATTCAACGCTGTGTTTATGTTGAAAATATACCCTACAAAAATATTAACAAGTTTACACATTAATCGTGTTAAATATTTAACACACAACTTTTGTTAAGGCAGTCACTTTTCATGATTTGTTTTAAATCAACACAAAAATTTGGATTTGGCGGTAAATTTAACAGAGTTAATGCTAAATTTTTGGTAATGTTTTTTTTTTTTGGTATTGCTGAATTTTTATTACTCTAAATAAACAACTTGACATATTTTTTCTTATATATTTTTACTTGGTATATTTTCGGTGTATAAATCAAATTTTTTATCGATTTAGAGTAAAAACTTTTTTATTAATTCCATTAAATAAGGGGTAGTTAAAAAACATTATTTGCATACTTTCTTAAGATAAAAATTTTTTGTCAAGTTTCAATTTTTTTAAACGATGGCAATAATTCGAGCTTAAATTAAATTTTAATTAAACGAACCAATTTAACCGAACATTGAATCTATATTTTTTTAACACACTGGAATAAATTCAACAATGTAAAGATCGTATAAATTGAAAATTTAAAAGTAACTTTTATATTTTTCAAGCAATTTTATTTCTGCAAAATTAAACTGAAATTTTTCAAGTGTGTAACTGATGAATAAAGTTGATTTAAAATTAAAGTTTGAAAGTGTTCCTAGAGACAAGCCTTTTTGAGGTATAAGGTACGACTTTAAAAGACAAACTGAAAGAGCTTTGTTTACATTCAATGTGCATTTACCGAGCTTTAAAGTCGAGTTCATCCAATGTACACGGGCTTATAACTAATAGCATTTGACGCGACTCTACACTTTTCTTCTTTACTTAGTTCCTTACTTTGCCAAAAACTAAAAAAGTCATCCTCGTACTCATACTCATACTCATACTTACTTTTAAGGACATTCTAGCTTGCCGGGGATCATTACACATTTTCTTTTTACTTAAATTTATTTTAAAGTTTTCCTTTAGTTTGCACTCGACTGTAGGATACGTTTCTCTAGTGATTTGGCTGTACGTTTGACGTTGTAGATGGAGACCACCGGGAAGTTCCTCTACTTTACGATAATTCTGCTACAATGTCACGTACACCCGCTCGAGTCTTACAACGTGCCCTGTGCCTTCAATTCTATGTGTCTCTGCTGGCTACAAGACGAAGATGAGTTTACACGGATGGACATCAGCTGCCTTGGTGTTTCTTTTTCTCGATTTCCCGGTAGGTCAATAATATGTAATGACGTCATTTTTTTCTTGCTTCTCCTAAAATATGAGATCCTAATATGATTTCTTACAAGGCAGCCTGGCAAAATTGGATTTTTCGCTCGATAAAATATTATTTCAACTGTCAATACTTATTTTTGTAATGAAATATTTTAACTTTTAATCGATCAAAAATATTAAGTTGAAAGTTACAGACATGTTGAATTTTTTTAATAAATAAATTAGTACAGAAAAACAAAAAAAAATTCCACTTGTAGAAATTCTAAAAAATTATGGATGCAGATTTTTAATAACAATTTATTTGATTTAAAAATTATAAAAACTGTCCAATGTCGGATAATTTCAGTTTAATTTTTTTAAGTACCAAAAATATAAACTAAAAAATTTGGAGTGAATTTTTAATTCAATCCCACAATGTCATCCGAAGTTTCAGAGTTTAATTAAATTCTTAATTTTTAAATGCGTAATTTTATTTAAATTTACATCCATACTGATTTTGTTGTCATCTGCTCTGAATAAAAAAAGGATCGTTCGTATTAAAATAAAAATATTGTGATACTCTGAATACTGATACTTTGCTCAGAACAATACCTAGCTTAGTTGTGAGTTCAGTTCAATAAAATATTGAAATTAATTAATTAATGTCATCAATTGATGGATATAAAAAGAATCTTCCTCTATGAAAAAAAAATATATGTCGAAATACATAAAAAACATATTTTAAATATATTAAAAATCTATAAAAAATATATAAATATATATAATTTATGTATAGTAAATATATTTTTAATAACTAACTTTTGACCAATTTTTATATATATTTTATATATTTCAAATATATTTTAGATATATTCAAAATATATTTTTTTTATGTTTTTAGCTATGTATTATAAGATATATCTTGAATATATCTAAAATATATATGAAAATCGGCCAAAAGTTATAATTCACTAAAATCACACGAGAAACAGTCTACCCAATTAATGACTCGAGAAAATTATTATTATTATTGGTTAACCTGTTGATTAAGTAAGAGCAGTGATGATGCGGCGATCATCAAAGGCCGTGATGTCTGGATTTCATCGGCTTCCGGCGCGGAGATCTATTGGAAGGCATCAAATTAGTGTACGACGTTTCCTGATCCTCTTTTATTATTATATACTTATATACTTATAGAAAAAAACTATACATTATAAATGAATAAGATTGAGCAAGACAAGAATAAGAAAATAACCTTAGTAGTGAAAAGGTATGAGATAAAAGCTCGTAAATTGGAGCTCTGTAAAAATTTCTTAAGGGCAATTTTTAGAGCTGAGAATTCCTAGAGTAGAGCTAGAAGAAGATTCACGGGTTTGTGGGCGGGTCTGCGTGCCCCCGGTTGAATTTACCAAGTGAGTGAGAGATAAATAAAACGAAGTGTAGAATATAATAATAATGAAAAAAAATATTTTTATGGTGGGTTAGATTCTCTATGCTTTTCTTATTCTCTTTGGATCACTGTTAAATAGAATGAAGCTAACTAGTGTGCCCCAGTGAGAATAATAGGGAGGAGCTTGCAGGTGCAACTCACGTTTATCCCTCGGGTAACAAATATTCTAAAATAACAATAAAAAAAAACTCAAGATGAAATTATTAAATAATAAAGAGTGTTCAGATTAATCATAATTTACTTAGTGTCTCGGCTTTCATATTTATATTTATTGAGACTGCAGGTCTGTAAGTCGAGAAAAAGGTCTCCAAAAAATCACGTATGTTATCGTTATGGAAAAATATACACTTGACGATCACTTTTTTTTCTTTTTTTTTTTTTAAATAAATGACTCGCACCTCATTTTGTATGCTTCTTTTTTTTTCATCAGTCCATAATTCCAGAATTAAAGTTATACTATTTAGGGTTTTTTTTTAGAGTGACTTATTGACGGACCCCCTGATGTTTTAGAGGTATAATAAAATGGTTTTTCGATCTATGCATTATAATACATAAATTATTGTTTTTTTACTCATAAAATATTAATAAGAGAGTACACGCCTATAGAAATCACGGAGTAATTTGATATGTATAGAAAATAGCAAACAAAAAAAGTAATACATAATAAATAAATTCAGTCAATTTATTTTATAAATATATACGGGTATCTTCTTTCTACGTATAATATATAATATGTATCTGTACGTATGATATAATATGTATACATAAGTATCTAGCTTAAATTACATTTACCAAGGGGATTTTATTATTGTCGAAAATCACCGATGCTTTTTTTTGCGGTATTCCTTTTTTTGGGTGATGTAATACATAAGAAATGCGAAAGTTTGTTTTGGTTCGCCTTCAAGCATTGGATAGTACGCGATTTAGTGTTTCGCTCTAAATCGGTTCGTTAAATTTATCAAACGGTGCGTGAAATAAGTATTTTCGAATAAAAAAAATCTTTCTCTTCATAACATAACAAATAAATCTCCAGGACGATGTATAGTACACAGACTCAAGAATTTACTGACATTACACGGAAGTTTGGAGGTTGAACGAAGCGTAATACAGACGTTTACAAATTTCGCGGCTAATCTGGCTTGCCGGAGATTATTTTATAGTTCAAGATAATATAATACGATGTAGATAGCGAATAGAGTGGAGAGATAAAGAGAAAAATAAATAAAATATAGTACAATAACATAATAAATTGAAAAGAAGTGTGTACGACGCCTTGGCTTTAAGAGATCCAAAAACCACACGCATCGATGAACTCCTTTACCTTTTATTATAAATCCTACAAGCTAAACATCTGTATGTAGTCCATGTATGATGTCTTAAGGATTTTGTGTAACCTACAAACGCACAAGCACTCCCGGATTAGGATTTTGTGAATTCAATGGGACTTACTCGGTGTTTAAGACACCTATCATTGATAACTCTCCGCTATGAAAATCAGTGATTGTCGAAAATTTAATGGTTATTAGTTTCAGCAATTATGGCGAATTCGTTAGAGAAATATTATTGACAAAAAAGTTCTTAAAATTTTTTTTTTTACATAATTTCAAGCTTTAAACTTCTCTGGAAAATTGATCAAAAGTCTCAAGAAAACAAAAAATTTATTCATTTAGGCTGCATCGTTGATTCATAAGCTTACCAAGAATATAAGATAAAAAAACTTCGAAGCTTATCCCGGCTAGAAGTTATAGATGTTACTATTTTTTTTCTAGTTTTTGTATTAGATTATTTAATATAATTCATGTAACAATCGACTTTTACGACTTTCTCTCTTCCAAGAATAAGAATAAAGATATTATCACAATGAGAAATTTCTTCATAATATTTCGAAGAAAGATTTTACGATCTCTCAAACTACTCGACCAAATATAATTACTAGACGAAATTACGTAACTTTTAAATTCCTAATTATTCAACTTTAATTGATAAATGACGAGAGTAAAAAATAGTTTATTACGTTAAAATAAATCATAGAAATTTTGCAAAATGTATGTTAATAATTATCAAATTATACTCAATCTCTATAATGTAAAGTATATTCAGTGTTGCGTGTTAAAATAAATAATAATCCGTAATAAAAAAATGTTATCCGTGCAGGTGTTTTTAATCGGATAATGTTAAAGCGCGACTTGTAAAAGATATAATATAATATATAACATATAATACAGAGACTTGAAGTATTATATTTTAAGGTAATAATAATCTTGAATCTCGACACATATTAAGTATTGCATTAAGTTACAATGTGATGTAAACGATGAGCGGAGTACCGCGAAGAATGATGCGAGTAATATCACCTATAATCCCGGGCTGAAATCCGTGACGATCCCATCGACTGCTCACCTCTAGATATGTCACCTGTACTCGCTGCAAACCAGCGTTTAATTCGAGAGTCCCTTTCTATCCACGGAAAATCAACTCCCAATATAAATAGTAACTTACTGAATACATCATCTTCAATATCGATTTACAAAATACTACCAACAAATTACATACCTTTAGTTCTAGATCGAAATAATTTTCAACGGCAACATGACACGGTACGCCACGGAATTTCCGTGGTTATTTTTCGCGGCCTATTGTACGACCCCATCATTCTGAGCCTTTACATTGTGCGTATATACGTTTTCTTTTATTAACAATTTATATTATTGTTAAATTCCGAAGAAACGATTAGATACGGGGCTAAGGATTTAGTATATGTATGGATTGATCCCTTGCACGATCTGTCGCTTTAAAACCAACGACATAGACACATACAGAAGATTGAATATTATATTATATAAAAGTCAAGGTGCTGGTTGTTAGAGTGAATTCACTTTTATTAGATAGAAAATCTCTGGATATTATTTCAAAGGACCGCGTCACGCCGATTTCGCGTCCCGACGTATCACTATAGCGTTTATTATAAAAAAGAGGGTCCACAAAAATAGACCACCCGTTCCACCGAATTAGTACGTACTTTTCATGAAAAATAATGAGACGGGTGTAAGGTATTATATATTTTTAAAGCTAAAGATATTCTTTATATTATATATTTATATTCTTTTGAGTGATGTTAGAAAAACCGATACGCCGATTTTCTCCTTCATTTTGACTAACTTTTTATTATACATTTCGTGTGCTGTCTTGCTGCAGTATATTTCTTAAGAATATATGTATGTATTTTTCTTAAAAGTTTTTTTATATAAAGAAAAGGACAAAAAAGAAAAAAAAGTAGCAAAAAGCGGTAGATTGTATGCAAGGAATACCTAACTATAACCAAAAATGCCCTAATATTCCGTGACGACAGATCACTATACTTGTTAAAATATATAGTACTTATTCGGAACCCATATGCCCGACACGTCTTTGTGTGTAAGCGTTTAAAAATACTATTTACAATGAGGAGTGTTGAGCACAAACGACACCGCCCTAGTGTTAACGCAAGCTTTTCATCGTTTTACAACTTAAAAAGAACTTTAAAATTGTTTCCTTTAATATTTTCCGTTTTTCTATTGACAAAAAAATTTTCCATATTCAGGTTTGGAGACACATAATTGTATATGGGATGGATGAGATGAGAATGTTGTGATAAATGAAAATAAGTTGAGTACGGATTGTATGTTACGGTGACTTATGCGTAACTGAACGATTTATATGAGCCGAGTAATCGTCGTGAATTAATTCCACGGTTACATTTTTGTGAGTGATTCACTGTGGATTTATGTAATAATCATATCATTAACAGATTGTTTAAATACACTTGAAATATTTTCAAAGTGAAGGACCGTGTGGTTGTTTGTATGTGATTTGTTCAACTTTTTTTATTTATTTTTACAAGTGTTTTATTTGGTTATTAAATTATGATGTTTTATATGAATATTTTGTTAATAAATAAGTTATTTAAATACTGGAGAAAGATTTTATACTATCGAAAATGAAATTGAGTTTAAATCTAAAATCTCTCTACCGTCTTCAATTCGAATTACACACTAGTTTTTCGAACATAAATATCTTTACTTTTAACGAGCACAAAATTTCAATGTTTTTGATTTTTTTTACGGATAAGAAAAATTTACAGTCGAAAAATACGATTACACCTTTTACGGAAAAGAAAAATCCTTGTAGCTTTTAAAACATTTTGAGATAATTTTTTGGCAATTTTATGGTTGGCGCCTAAAAGATCCTAAAAGATATCATCAATTATCAATCTTCGACATCTGTGGAAAGTCACCAGTTAAATCAAATGCTCTTTTACTGGCGCCAACTTTCCACAGATAATATCACTTTTAAGACAAAAAAAGATGGTTATCGTAGATTTTTCTTAATTTTCTCAACAAGTATGCATTACAGAAACCATGATTTCCTATCTTAAGTATTTCAAAATCATGTTAAAAGTAGAAAGTAATGATGCCTGAGAAGAAAAATGGGTAAATAATGTTTAATGAAGGGTATAGCATGTTAAATGAACCAAAAAACAAAGTCTTATGTCTACAAAAGCGGAAATTGGTTTAAATTTTTGGCGACGTTACCCACGCTGAGCATTAAGCGGAACACCCAACGAAAATTACATTTGAGATTAGTGAAGCCAGCCTCTTGATGTGCGTTACATACTCCAAATCTTTGAGTAAACTAAAAGCATCTTTCCAGGCAGTGAAAATCATCGTACCGTGAAATGAGCCTGCGTTAAAACGCAGGACGTAGCTTTTTAGACGATGAGATAAAACTCATCATTGCATTTTTTTGATAAGCCATTCGGTAACAAAAAAAAATTAAATCATTACGTGGGATGTGAATAAAATTCTTTCCAGTTCTTTCTTAAAATTTAATATAGCAAAAAAAATAATTGTATCTATTGTTGGGTCGTAATCATCCATTTCGTATCGTTCTAGTCATTAAATGAAATAAAAGAAACTATGAAAAGTAGCATATCCTAAAAATGTTTTTTCTACGAACCATTTTGAAAGGACATAAGAATATAGTTTAAGTTTAGTTTACTATTATTGTTCTTTTTCCTTTTGTCTTATTCCTTTGTGATTCTGAAGTACATAATTGTAAAGGGCCCACTAATTTTTCGAAAATACTAGAATCATTAGGTGTGACGATATATAAAATAAGATGGTAGGTGAATAGATGAGGATATGGTTTATGGTTTTTTGTTCTTTTTCACTCCGTTATTCTTTCATGACAGTCTCCTCTCCTCGAAGGGACTCGGAACGAACGCTGATGGGGCACTTGTTACCGCAGTGGATGCACGTGTTCTAATGGATCTTGAGGGTTCCCCTCGAAGAAGATGGATCAAAGATAAAACCAAGAAAAAAAATAAAAGGAACAAAAAATAAAAGAATAACTAAAAAACTTAACAAAATACGATCAATCTCAGGGCTTGGGTCGTGGTCTAGTCCATAGTAATGTAGGTAGTAAAGGTCTAGCTAGAAAATTGGACATAGACAAGGCACGATGATGAGCTGGACCTTTAGGGCAGCTGTAAAAAAAATTGGGATGACGCAAAATTTTTTTCCTCTATAATTTTATTTTTAAGCAACAGGTACTAAGAAAATATTTTTTCTAAAAAATATTATAGTTGTCAACTTTTAAATATATTTGACCAAAAAAATAATCTCACCTCATTAGAAAACATGATTTTGTTGAATATTTTTTACGGTTGAATTAAATTTTTAAAGTTTGGAAAATCCAAAAGTGCACGCCTCATAGCGCTCATTCATTTTTTAAGAAAAAAATTAATTGTGTAATTAATTAAAAAATTATAATTAAGTAATTTCTTACAGAGTATTTTTTATTTTTTTTTTTTTAATATCGGCGCCCTTTTTTCTTGTCATATGGGCTCGCAGTCTAAAAAAGTCTAGCTTGATCAAGTGGCGCCATAGTTTTCACGTGACAAATAAGGAAAGTTCATTTAGCTTTGTACGATTGTATCGTAGTAAATTTTAATAAAAATTCAATTTAAAAAAAAAGTACGTAAGCTAGGCCACTGATATGCAATACGGACCCAATTCATCGAATTCTTAAACTAATAAAAAAGATCCGGTCTTGAAATATCAATTTGTTCGGGAGTAATCGTTGGTACATCCAAAATGGGGTGACATCCGGACGTCCCCGTAAAATTTTTTTCAAAACGTTTTTTTTTTCAAAATAGCAACATGAAATGATTTTAGAAAGTAACAGATGATTTAATTTAAGTGTTTTTTTGGTGTACATCTACTTATATCATTGTATAAGTGTAATATGGTTGTGATAGAGGCATTTAAAGATCACAAAATTGCTTGATCTTAACGAGTCGAGTATAAAGCACAACCTCACGCGCTTCGCGCTATGAGGCGTGCAATATATAAAATATATGGAAAATTAATGTGGGTACTCAAATGAAAGGTCTCGATAAGTGTAACATCAGAATGAGCTTATATCTTTAAAAATGTCAATAGTTAACAAGATAAAAGGTCATTTCTTAATTATTGACATTTTTAGGCATAAAAATGAGCCTGAAAAAGGCGACGCGCAAAATTTTAATATTAATATTAAGCTTATCTTCTAACCGCTCACTTTTATACTTAAACGAAACTTTTGAGCTTGTTTCCGAGAAAACAAAAGTTTTTTTTTTAATCACCCTTTTACCATTATCACTTACATGAGTGATATTGGAGTACAAATATCGTAATAATTTTTTTTTATGAAAAGAACATTTATTCGTAAGATATATCGGCTGTCCGTATCTTCTCAATAACTGTCTAATCTGCTACCTTTTGATATATGTGATCTATTATCAACTAATTTGATATAAAAATTTATTTTACCACACTTTAAGGCTTGAATTCCTTGAAAAAAAAAACTACTCATATCTTACCAAAAATAATCATTGAAACTAGGTTAATAATATTCACAAAAATTTTTACATATAAAGCCGTGACAAATATTAGCAATTTATAAAAGATTAATTTTTATGTTGAGCAATAGTAATTCCGTAATAATTCAGCATTATTCACTTTATTCTATAATTCATGTTACTGATCTAAATTCATACATTATTAATTACCATTAAACACATATATGATACCTGAAAAAAAAAATTCCGTGTTGACAAAATGGCATTAATTCCATAAAAAGTTATTCAGTATTATTCATTTAAATTTGATTCTTTGATTAATTAATTAATAACTAATTGTTCGTTGAAATAATTTTAAATTAAGGAATTCAAGTATCGGATGACGATGTCGATATTTATTTTTTTCTATGCTATTTTATGTTTCAACAAATAAAATACTGTCAATATTTTTATAATTGGTCATATTGATTCGTGATGTTTACAAAAAATATAACACTTCAGCGTATAAAGTAGCAATATAGTTTTAAGTAATAATATTATCAAGTAAAACTTATATTATTGAAATAACTTTTTGAAACTTCAATTTTTTCAATTTTCTAGTGGAAGCACTAGTGTGTTACTATTTCAAAGTAAAACAGTTTCCATTTTCTTTTTTCCGTGGAAATAAAAAAAATTACTACGAACACATTCGTACCTGACAATTTTATTTTTAAAAGTATTTCGTTCTGAACTAAAAATAAACGGTAAAAAAAAATTCCTTTGAGCCGAAATTATGACTCCGATCAACGAAGGTAAAATATCTGACCGATTTACAATTTAACAGGATTACTCGGCTTACAAACAAAAAATCTGCTTAAATTTTTTAGCTGAATCGTGACCTAAATTCACCAAAAAAAAAAACGTCATTTAAAAAGTGCTAATAAGTCGTTGATAAAAAAAAATAATAAACGACTCTAAATTCAATATAATAAATTTCAAGTCTGCTCGAAAGCTAAAGATCAAATCTCGAATCCATACCCACGTAAACGTAAAATATCAAAGCTGAGCAGCCTTTTTTTTTATCAGTATTTATTAGCTTCACAAATATCGCCTTAAATCGAATGTTATTGGAAAAAATTCAATACGGCGGTTTTTAATTTTAAAATATTTCTTTGCTTGACCGTTGCAGTGAAGTATCGAGCAGTTTACGATCACTGGATCTGAGCTATAACTCCCTGGAAGAAATGCCGTTCAAAGCACTTCGAGGATTGAAAAAGTTGAATTGGCTCAACATGCACAGGTAAGAAAGGAGAAGTAAAAGAAATGAGTTGAGTGTAGTCGTATACCAAAGAAAGAAAAATCTTAAAGTAAAAGTATAAGAAGACGACAAAGTCATACAAAAAAGATCGTAAAGTCCAGAAGTAGAAGTTAGATTTGACTGTTGTCACGCTCTTACCCTAAATCGATCTTACGTCAGTACACGATTAATAGTTTCTACGGGCGAACAATATTCAACTCTTCTGTTTGTTTAATAATTTATTATTTTTCAAAATTATTCAACTGAAACTCTTCTCTGCTAGAAAAAGAAAAAAGACCTAGAATAAAAATAAGAAGAAGAAGAAGAAGAAGAAGAAGAAGAAGAAGAAGAAGAAATCTTATTATTCATGAATGTAACGAGTAGTAAACAAAAAGTTTTAGTAAACGAATATCAATTATAAAAATTCTTATTGAAATTCAATATTTAGGTTTTGTTTTATTTGCTCCGTATCGTTACACCGACAACCACCTGATCTACAAGGTATATAATATATAATTAATATATATATATATTGGTAAATATATTTTATATTTATATACCTTGCCGGGTATCATAGATATACATTATAGATTTTTTCAACCACTGCACAGCTTTTTTCAGACACCCGATACGCGGATTAAAAAGTATTCGATACGTTAATTGCCCGCGGGTTATATTTGCCACGGTCATACCATTCTATTTCTCGTTTCCGAGCATCATATTTAGTTATATATACATTTATAAAATGAAATAAACCCTCCATTATCTATAAACCTTTTTTTTTAAATAATCCTCCCTGAATTGCTCAATAGATACGTAAAAAAAAATATTCAATAACCATTTATTAATCTATTGAAAAAAAAAATTCACTTTTAATTGATTTTATCATTTATTATCATACTAAACTTTTATCTCCCGGAAAATGCTGTTACGAAAATCAAATAAAAGATAACTGATTTAATTATTGAATCTAGCCGTCAGTGGTGGATTCAGTCAGGGAGTGACTTTCGCAAAAAAAAAATTCGGTTTGTTTAATTATTTTTAATTGATATTCATCGCTGTCGGCTTCTTAATTTTGAGATGGGAAATTTTTCTAGTTTAATTAAAGGGTGTTTTAAATATTGAAATTTTTTTAATTACAAATTTGAGAGGATGAACAATTGACAATAACGTATAGATAATGCTTGTTCAAAATTTTAAATTTGATCTGTATTACTAGAAATGTTTTCTTCATTATGATACTTTCGTTATAAATTTCTCGGTAATTATTGAACTTACAAAAATTTTTGTTCTTAAAATACGTTGGCTAAAAGTTAGATCTCTGACACAAAATTCACTTAGTATTTTCATTTTGATTTTTTCAAAAAAATATAGCATTTTTGAGCTTGTCCAAAAATTTGAAATTTTAATTTTGATAATATGTTTTCAATTAAGATTCGTTCATTGTTAATATCTCGAATATTGTCGAAGTTAGAAAAAAAATTTTCAAGTAAATATTTTAGGTGAATGACGCGTCACTAATATAAAATTCGACCGGTTTCTTAATTTGGTTTAGTTCAAAAATTATAGACTGTCTGTAAAAAATTACTCAATTCGAACTTCATTTTTAATGATGTTTTTTTCATTATGGTTCTTTCGTTGAAAATATCTTGCACGGAAAAAAGTAAATTGTAATATTCACTCGGATTCCGGTTAATTTTTATCGTTTCAAACAGTAAAGCGGACATCGGGGTAGCAAAAATATAAATATTACAGAACTTAATGTAGAAAGTATAAAAGCCACAATTTATAATTTAATATCCAAAATAAGTGATTAGTAGCTGTCAATATAGTAAATAACGACTCTTTCATCTTAAAAAATTACAGTTTCAAACAGTAAAAATTGCCATTTCAATATATAGTCCATATTATGAGGAGAAGGGGAACTTAGATGAAAGAGAAGGGTGTCTCACTCTGGGAGAATTTAACATTTGAAACAGTAAAAATTATATTTTTAAAATATACATTTTACCAGTCCAAGCAAGTCAATAATTACAATTTGATTTTTAGCGTTGCGTTTAAAATTTACCATTTTACTTTGTAAATATTAATGTTGCTTGTATTAGAAATTTACTAACTCTATTTTATACTTTTTACCTATCATAAGATCATTTTTTAGGTACAAAATGATAAATATCAAAGTCTGAATTCTAATTATTATACTTAAACATTTTAGACAATTACATAGCGAATATTACTGTTTGAAATAGTATTTACTTCCATGTAAAGAGTAAATTGTAACGTTTAAATAGTAAATATTATAAAGTGAATAGTAAAATCACGATTTGACTGTTTGAAATGGTAATTTTTAGCAGTTGATCATTACTTATTATAAATCGACTGTTGTTTATTACAGTTTACTTTTTTCCGTGTGGTATAATTATTAAAACTAGAAAAAATAATTTTTTATAAGCATTAATAAAAAGCAGTCAATCTTATTAGTATTTAATGAATTAAATTGTTTTATCTTTACCACGAAAAAAAAAGCTAGTTAAAATAAAAATCACATTTATAAATAAAAAAAAAAAAAGTCTTCATTTTCTCTTAATTAAAGGGATGCGTTGAATATATTTGAATTTATATAATGAGGCATTTTGTAACTACAAGAGCTTACATGAATTTATGAAAATTTTAAGCTAAAAAAAAATTCTATTTAACACATTAAATTTTTTTTTACCCGCTACTTTGAACTCTTGATTTTGCAGCGTTATTTTAGTAAAAAAATTATATTGAGGTTCGGATTTTAAACTTTAGTAATGTTAATATTGATCTAATAAAAGTTTTTATACTCAACTTATAATATTATCGGAGCGACATGAATTTTAAAAAAAAAGGCATAAAATAGGTTTAAAGATTGTTTGCCTGAGTTTATTTTTATTGCGAGCATCCATATTGGCTGAAAAATTACATAAAAAGTTTAAATTTAGCAAAGTTCAAATCGAGAAGCTTGGGATTAAAAGGCAACATTTACATATCGTATAGAACCGAAAGTAAATAGAGAATATATTGGAGTATTCTCAACCTACATAATTCGCAAATGTAAATGTGGTATTTTTAATTCTTAAATTTTAAATAAATATACTTCAGTGGTATTTTCTATTAAATCATTTCACCGGTGCTAAAAATATATATCTCTAGTTACAACCTTATAAATAAGCTTTTAGCCAATTAATTCTGTTGATAACATTAATTTATCAATTATTACAAGTTAATGAATTATTGTATTTACTGTCGCGTAATTAATTTTTTCGTTATAAGAGTTTGCCCCGAAGCAAAAAAATTAGAACAGATAATGTTCCTTCGATTAAATATCGGGAAAAGTATTTGTCAGTTTTTACGTAAAAGATTCATTGTCATAATGTTGGATTTATTCATTTGGCTTTAAAGCATATGTTATATAGAAAAAATATGTTGTGGTAACAAATGAGTATAGTTATAGCAACAAATCCATTAGTTGTACTAACAAAATGTTTCAAGTTGTACTTACAAACCAGTTTGTAAAATCACAAAATCAATTTGTTGTTATAACGAAACCATTTTGTTGCTATCACAAAATGACTTTGTTACTGTTACAAAGTGATTTTGTTACAATAACAAAACGAGTTTGTTGCTTGTTAAATGCATTTTTATAAAATTTACTGTAACAATAGTATATTACATACCTAGGCCAGTAAAATAAGAAAAGTCTCAGACCACATGTAATTGTTGGCCGAGGCGAAGCCGAGGTTGACAAACATGTGGTCTGAGGCTTTACTTTTTACTGACCAAGTTGTGTATACTATTTTTCTGCTCGACGTAGCCGGAATGTGGCAACTTTGTTTAGCGCAGCGGCCAGAAAGTTGCCACTTTCCGGCCGGAGGGCAGAAAATTTATTTTTTATTCCAACAAATTCTCATTGTTGTTCTTACAAATTCTCTTTGTTATTTTAATAGAATAATTTTCCTGTTTCAACAAAAAAATTTGCTTTACCAACTAAAGTATTTTGTCGAATCAATTAAAAGATTTTGCTGTAATACCAAAACTGTTTTGCTGTTATAATATATCAATAACTTGTTATAACCTAAATTTTGTTATTTTAACATATGATTTTTTATCCCTATATTAACAAATTCATTTGTTACCACAACATATCTTAGGTTATTTTAACAAAATTTTTTTGTGTGAATAAATGAAATATATTGTCAAAACTTAATAATTTTGGGTGGAGTTAGTCTGTCTCCGGACATAATTCCGGGACCGAAGATGTTCATCGGCTGGCTCCTTGAGACTAACTGCACGCAGAAAAAAATTTTGTTAAAATAACTTAAGATATGTTATGGTAACAAATGAATTTGTTAACATAGGGATAACAAATCATATGTTAAAATAACAAAATTTAGGTTATGACAAGTTATTAATATGTTATAACAACAAAACAGTTTTGTTGCTATAGCAAAATCTTGAAGTTGATTCGACAAAATATTTTAGTTGGTATGACAAATTTTTTTGTTGAAACAGCAAAATTATTCTATTAAAATAACAAAAAGAATTTGTTGGAGTAACAAAGACAATTTGTTGAAGTAATAAAGAGAATTTGTAAGAATAACAATGAGAATTTGTTGAAATAACAAATAAATTAGTTACAGTCAATTTTATAAGAATACATTTAAAAAGCAACAAATTAATTTTGTTATTGCAATAAAATCACTTTGTTACTGCAACAAAATTACCTTGTAACAGCAACAAAATCATTTTGTGATAGCAACAAAATGATTTTGTTAGAGCAACAAATTTACTTTGTGATTTAACAAACTGGTTTGTTAGTACAACTTGAAACATTTTGTTAATACACCTAATGGATTTGTTGCTATCACTATACTCATTTGTTACCAGAACATATTTTTCAGTTATTCTGTCTTTTGTTATTTCAACAAAATCGTTTTTATGCGTGTGCTTTGATTTTGCATCCAGAGTACAATAGTGATTGTAATAATTAATAAACTAGGCAACGTTGCATCTCAGATTACCTTAGAGGAGTCGTAGGAGTTCAGCTTTCACGATGCTTAGGCTGGAGCCCGGCGACTCTTATCAAAGCGATTTACGTTATTTCATTCATCACCAACGAAGCATTTATTATTCTCGAATAAATTAATTTAAATAATATTTTTAGTTTAGCAAAAACGTAACACTTAATTCAAAAATATGTTTCAGCCGGTAAAATAAAATTCTTTACCCAAGAACAATTTTCTTCAACTAAAAATAATTTTCCTTTAAGAATTTCATATTTTGGATTCAAGAGGTTTTTTTTTTGAAAATAGCAAATTTGCTTAAGTAACTTATTAAAAAAAAAAAAAATTATTTTTTTACTTCAATTAATTCGAGCATTGTTGTCATTTTTTAATTAAGTTAGTAAAATCTTAAATAAATGTTACAACAGTAAAAAATGCTCGGGTAAAATGTCGGCTATCTCGTTTGAAAATAGCATAGTATTATGTTGAACTCGTAAATTTTTAAATAAAAAATTTTCCATCTTTATCAAAGAGTTTTATTTTCCTGTGAATTTTTTAAATGTAACATTTCCAAGTAAGAGTGAAATTTTAATAATTTTCGTGATTCAAGATTATTTTTCTTTTGAATAAAGTCAATTTTTTGCCAGCGTACCAAAAGCAGGTACAGAAAAAACTAAAAACAATTACGCGCTATAATTATTTAATGATAAAACACTTGACCACACTGTCAGGAAAAAAAAAAATAAACCCGGCAACAACTTTTAAAACTAAGCTTAAAATCCCCTGAAAGGTAAAAGTTAGCAGGATTGACAGTAGGGATTTAACCCCGCCCCTTCGGTGTAAGAGCGGATTAATTAAACACACATTTATATCCATTTCGTTATTGACTTTTTCAGTAATCACTTGACAACTCTGGACGTTGATTGGGGCCACGTATCAGAAACATTGACCAACGGATATTTCGGCGATAACAGCATAACCGAGCTTCCGCGAGTATTATCCCACTTTAAAAATTTAATATCGCTCAATTTGGACGATAATAATATAAAACAAGTGCCAGAAGAGTCGCTGCCTCGAAACATCCGTACACTAAGTTTGAACAATAATTTGATAACTCATTTCCCTCTGAGTGTTAGCAATTTAGAGTCACTGAGCTGGTTGTATCTGCGCAGTAACTTCATTAGAATACTAGAGTTACCCTCATCCTTAAAAAGTAACTCCCTCGAATCGATAGACCTGAGTGACAATTTAATAGAGTCTATTCGAGTTATCACGACATCTGTCATTAGTAACACCGTAAACAAAAATTCAACATCAAAAGTTATAGTTAAAGATTTTAATTTGTCGAACAATAAGTTGTCAGTAATAGCATCTGGCGTTTTCCGGTTTCTCGAAACTCGTCGGCTCCATCTGTCATCAAACAATATAAGTTACATCCATGAGGAAGCGTTTACCGGTCTCGAAAATACTTTGGAGTACCTAAATTTGGATAATAACGATCTACATAATATCCCAAGTGCATTGTCGTCTCTCACGAGGATCGCTTATCTCTACCTATCTAATAATAATATTTACAATATCACCAGTGACACTTTTGAATCATACAGTGGGTACTTACGAGTCTTGTCTTTAGCGACGAATAATTTAGCAGCAGTGCCTGTTGGAGCACTCGCTCCTTGCAAAAGGTTACAGCATCTAAATTTGGGTTACAACAAGATTACCCACGTATTTCCTGGGGACTTTGAGTGGGCAACCAACCTCGAGGTTCTCCTTTTACGGAACAATGCTCTGTCAAAACTAAAAGCCGACACTTTCAAGGGCGCTTACAAGCTTAAAGAACTCAGCTTGTCATTCAATCAATTGACCGAGTTAGATGACAAAGCGTTCGCTGGAACAGAAGAGACCCTGGAAATGCTCGAGCTGAGTTTCGCCTTTTCCACAGACATTTATCCAAAATCGGCGTTGTCTCCGCTAACCAATTTGCAGTGGCTGGTCCTCGACAACAACAATTTCCATTTACTAGAACCGGATGTCCTCTATCCGTTCAACCAACTCCGTTACATTAATTTGGAGTCGAATCGATTGCATTATCTCCCGGACAACCTATTTTTGCCGCAAGTTCACGGGGAATTGCGTGACATCAAAATGGGGTATAATTACCTAGAAGAGCTACCAGCTAACCCCTTCAAAAATTTAACGGAACTGAGGACGATTGATCTGACAGGAAATCGATTGAGTTATTTGTCAAGTGGGACTGTTGAAGACTGTGGGAAATTGGTGACTGTTTCGCTGGCTTACAACCGAATAACTGCTATGGAGAAGGCCGCGTTTCGACGATTGTCAGCTCTCAGGTTTCTAAATTTGGAATTTAACGGTTTAACTACTCTTGATCTCGACGCTATTGTTGAGTGCGGTGGATCAGTATTCTCGCTAAATGTCTCTTTCAATTCAATCTCGGTTATTAATTCCGAGTTCAGACTAATCAATCTCACGGAAATTGATCTGGGGTTCAACAACATTACTACGCTACCCAGTGACACGTTTGATGGGTTGCCGAATTTGAGGACTCTCGATTTGAGGGGCAATTATCTTACTACTCTTCATCCTGGTGAGTTTTTAAAACAATTTTTTTTGTGTTTTGTTCTTAGTTGCATGATATGGTACGTTTTTTAAAATTTTATTGTTACATCTGTGCACGGAAAAAAGTAAACTGTAACAAATAACAGTCGATTTATAATAAGTAATGATCAACTGCTAAAAATTACCATTTCAAACAGTAAAATCGTGATTTTACTATTCACTTTATAATATTTATAATTTAAACGTTACAATTTACTCTTTACATGGAAAGAAATATTATTTTAAACAGTAATATTCGCTATGTAAATGTCTAAAATGTTAAAGTATAATAATTAAGAATTCAGACTTTGATATTTATCATTTTGTATCTAAAAAATGATCTTATGATATGTCAAAAGTATAAAATAAAGTTAGTAAATTTCTAATACAAGCAACATTAATATTTACAAAGTAAAATGGTAAATTTTAAACGCAACGTTAAAAATCAAACTGTAATTATTGACTTGCTTGGACTGGTAAAATGTATATTTTAAAAGTATAATTTTTACTGTTTCAAATGTTAAATTCTCCCAGAGTGAGATCCCCTTCTCTTTCATCTGAGTTCCCCTTCTCCTCATAATATGGACTATATATTGAAATGGCAATTTTTACTGTTTGAAACTGTAATTTTTTAAGATGAAAGAGTCGTTATTTACTATAGTGACAGCTACTAATCACTTTTTTTGGATATTAAATTATAAATTGTGGCTTTTATACTTTCTACATTAAGTTCTGTAATATTTATATTTTTGCCACCCCGATGTCCGCTTTACTGTTTAAAACTATAAAAATTAACCGGAATCCGAGTGAATATTACAGTTTACTTTTTTCCGTGTGTGTTATGAAAAAAGATCAATTTTTGGTCATAATTTAGAAGTAGATTACGAAATATTCCAACTCATACAAATTACATAAATAATTTATCTTTTAATTATTACATTTTTTTTAGAAAAATAAAAAAATGGATTTCAAAAATATCAATTTTTAATTGAAAAAAAAAAAAAAAAAATACAATTATATTAATTAAATCCATTAAAATTGTTTTAAGGTCATTGTCTAATTTCAAATTTAAATGATTAATTTCTTGAATGTATCCACTTTCCGAAATGATATTTTTATACTTTGTTTTATTACTTTTTCACTGCACAAGTTGTTGTGTTTTATGTCTCGGGTTTATTCAGTAAGTTTTTTATTAACCTTACACAATAGGTTTTATGACACCGTAAGTGCTGTAAAAATGTAAAAAAAATGAACACGAAAAAGAAAAAGAAAAAGAAAAAGCTTTTAATGAAGTGCAGGATAATCAAGTTACGAGTTGTTGTTGCTGTTTCTGGATACGAATGTACCAACATTTAACATATGCGTGTACAAATGGAATAAAGGTAGTCGAGTGTAATTTCTATTTCAAAGTGACATTTCTAAAACGTAAGGTATATTCATGTATTTATGTGCTTGCGTACATACGATAAAGTATGAGTACGTATATATCTACATATATGACTGCATATAGATAAGTTTGTATATGTGTCACAGTGTGTGTTAAAGCAACATTCTGACGCGGTGCTTTCATGCTCCGGTGCATTGAAGGCATAATCCTAGTTAAGCACTTGACTAAAGTGCCCATTAAAAATCATGATCTAAAAAGCGGTTACATTAAACTACCTAATGATCACTCAGCTCTGAAAATAAAAATTTGATTTTAGTTGATACAACCATAACTCATTGATTAATTGGTAATTTATCTCCCTTTAAAGAAATATTTGCAACCTTTTTTAAAATTAACTTCTTAAGAGCTTTTTAACCAAATTGCAAGTTAAGTTTCATTCGGTACCCGCTCCTAAAGTCTGTGAAAACCGAAAATTTTTTTTTCAGAGTGGATTATATCAAATAATAAAACATAATGTGTGTTGGACTTTTGATTTAGTATTACTACAAAATACATAACACGTTATTCATAGAGTTAACTATGAAAGTAGTATCCTTGAAAGTAAAATGAACTTTAGGTTAGGCTGTATTTACGGTTTGAGATTATCTTAAAGTAGAAGAGATAGCTGTTGTCATCTTTTGTCAGTAGTTGTAGTATTCTACCTCAAAACACAGAGAATAAAATTTTATTATTATAAAAACAAAAATTGTACAAAAATTTTAGTTACAAAATTTTTTTTTACACCAATTAATATTCAATTTAGCAATTTTTGTATTGATATGAAAGATTGAAGATACAAATTATGTTTCAATAAATGTGATTTGAGTCAAATGAATCGTGTAAATGGATATAAATTTCTGCCGTGATATGTGATATTTTATTCAAGGATTCAATTTTACGTAATTAATAAGTTTTTCAACTTGAAACCGGATATTGATATAATTATTCCATTAATGAGCGTTTAGAAAATCGATATTGAAACAATTGAATTTTGGATTAATTGAGCCCAGTCATACCAATTTTTCTTGTTCATCAATCCAAGTAGAAAAAACGATTTTTTTATTGTTAAAATAAAAAATAAAATAATTTCTTTAAATTTTTTATTTTGCAAAATAATTTTTTTTTTTTTATTAAATTAACATTTTTACACAAAATTATACATTAATAAAATTATAAGAATAACATTATAGCATTTAATTTAGCTTTTATGAGTTTTATGCATTTTTGATACATATTAAACGATGTGATAAATGCTCCCAGTATAGAAATTTTTAAAAATAAGCTTTATGATTACCTTTTTAATCTAGACATCTAAATCTAAAATAAATTTTCAGTTAAATCTTTAAAATTTTTAAAATTATTAAATACAGTAAAACTATTAAATCACTAAAATTATTAAAATTAAAATCTTTAAAATCATAATCATAAATATTGTAATCTATTAGTTTTCATTTTCACTTAAATTGTTTCTTCAATATTAGTATATAAGCAATATTACTTCTTCTAATATCTTATTATGTATAATTATATATAAGTTATAATTATTATGTTGAAATCAAAAAATTTAAAAATGTATTGTATTCACAAAATGTATATTTTTCTATTGCCATCTGGCCAGTGAAGGCTTTGGCATAAATCAATAAATTCAATTCAATTCAATTCAATTTCTATTAAATAAATAGCATTTTGAATCATACAGAAAAATGAATGCAAATGCTTATAAAGGACGTGAAAAAAAAAAAAAACTAAGCATTTCAACGTGATTAAACATTTTTTTTTGTGAATTAAAGATGCATGAGATTTTTAAAATTTGTAATCGAAGTATTCGAATATTTTAAACGTCATTTTTGGCCGAAATTATGAGTTAATATATAAATGTAAAAAAAGAGTTTCAAAAATACTGACAATTTGTGAATCTCTATTTTAATCCATAGAATCGAATTACGATAGTGTATACTTAAACATTAATGTTTCAATTTTTATAATGATCAGAGAGTGAAAATAGCAGACTGAAGTGAAATTGACATGGATAAAAATGCACATTTTACTGAATTATCTCTAATAATCGGACGACGAATGGCATTTTCTGCAAAGTTAATTCCAGAAGTCTAAAAAAAAAAATCGAACGAAATGATATCCGTCACTCTAGTCTACATGTAATTCGTTAATTTTATGCTTAAAAAAGAATGGATATATATTTTAAAGTTGAGTTTGGAAGCAACCACCTCTCGTCCTTTCAGAGTTGTAAAAGTTAATTCCATTTGAAATAGTCTTGCCATGTATAAAATATATTTTATCAATCATTTATATTGGATAAAATAAAATAAGATGATTACTATTCCAGGCACATTTGCATTGGAACATCTGGAGACACTAAACCTCCAAGACAATCGACTGTCGACATTAAGAAAGCAGACGTTCCACGGGACATCATTTTTACAGGAATTGGATCTGAGCCGAAATTCACTGTCGCAATTATCTACGGAGCAATTTCGTAATCTACGTAATCTACGTATCCTGAATTTATCAGGAAATCACATAAGATCGTTATCCCGCGACGTGTTCGAGGGTACACGTATCGAGACACTGGATTTAAGCTCTAATAGAATCAGTATCGTGCCTTCCGCAGCATTCCTCGAAGTGGGTTACACACTGCGCGACTTAAATTTAGCTGAAAATTTAATAGAACACTTGGATTCATCTGCATTCCCAGTTTCTCAGCTTATTAACTTAAATCTCGCGGATAATCGTCTGACAATATTGCCCGACAATTCCTTTGTCGCGCTCAACAGACTCCTGAGTCTTAATCTCTCAAAAAATTACATCCAAGCTAACTTCAAAGAGCTGTATCATTATCTACCAGATTTGAAGCGGCTATACATGGCTAATTGCGGTCTGAAAACAGTTCCTGTCTTACCACTGAGCAATCTCAATATTCTTGACTTGTCATTCAATGCCATTCAAGTTCTTGACCAAGCTAATGTACAGTATCTGACCTCCCTCAAAGAATTGAGCCTCGTTAACAACTCCCTGAATGCCGTCCCAGACGTCAGACTAAGGATTCTACGACACCTAGATCTATCGGACAACCCCATTGAGGTCAGTACCAAATCACGCTTGTCTATTTACATTAATCTATTATTAGTTCGTTATCTAATTAAATAGACACTCTTACACGTGTTTATCTGATTTATCAGAATACTTAGAAATTAAATTGTCCACTTCATAGAAAATAAGTAAGTATTGCTACTTTTAAAAATATACGAAAATTTTCAAAATTTTAGACGTACGTAAATTTTACCAGTTACGTTAAATTTATTACAGTCCAAAAAATGATATTTCTTATTATCCAATAATCGAATGATGGTTTAACAATCGAGTTTTTTTTTAATATTATCGGCATAGCTATAAAATTTTTCAAACTAAATTATTTTTTGTTTGGCGAGTCGAATGAAAACGACTCAAGTGAGTGAATTTAATAAATTATTAAAACTAATTTTAACAGAATTATTACTTGATCGAAAGGATTTTATTTTAATTTCTTAAAATTTTTTTGAAATTTTGAGTACTTATACTCATAAGTATCCTCTATATGCAGGAATTTTTTTAAATAATCCTTGCGGCACTAAATTTTGAAATATTATCATTTAAAATTTGTACATTTTACCGATGTTCAAGCGAACGTTTCATTAAGTATCAATCGTAATTTTCTTAGGATTGTTTTAAAGAGCTGAGAATTATTAATTGAAGATATAACAAGTATTTTTTATCAAAAATAACATAAACGAGCGGTATTCATTTTTTTATAAAAAATATTTGTGATTTTCGATATTGACTGTAAAGAGAGGCAGCACTAGTGCGTGAGAAAGAAACCAATAGCCATAACCTATGAGTGTCTTTTTCTTTTCTATGAACGTCCTTAAGGTATTACCCTCGCCAGATGCGTTTTCTTAGGAATTTTTTTAAATTTTGGCAGATTAATATTCATATAATTCTGCATCGATTGACGCAAATTGAAATTTTTTGACTATCTAGTTTCAGAGATATTTAATTTCAAAGTTCGAATTTTTAGAGGAGGTTATACACTGTGATATACGGGATACCGAAAATTTTACTCGTATATTTTATTATAACTAAGAAACTTTTTTTAAGATTTTCATAAAAAACTAAACTACTATTAAAAAACAGCTATTATTTGTTTTTTTCAAACTTTCATTGATTTTTACCATCTAGATTTTTAAATATTATTAAAAAATAACTGTATTATTCAAAAATAACCATGAGTAGAAGTGAGTAAGTAATAGCAAGTGAGAAAGACAAAAATATCCTAAACTATACCCTAATTTACTCGCACTATATGTCGCGAGGGTAATACCTTAAAAATTTATTTTTTTCAAATTAGAAACCAAATTTTTAAATATCAGACAGAGCATGAATATTTATGTAGTAATTCAGATTTTCAATTTATTTCTTTGAAAAATCAATTGACAACAAATAACAATTGTAAAGTATTTATACTTTAATTACACTTATTGTTAAATTTTAAAAATTGAATTTAGAAGAAAAATACAATTGAAAGTCAATAATATTAAGTTTTATTATCTTAAGTTTTTTTTAAATTTATCACCTAGTATTTTGTCTATAAATATAACAATTCAAAATTTTTAAAAGTGAGCTTAAATTTAAGTATGAGTATTTTCTATACACTATAAAAATTTTTATCATATCTAAATGTGTGCACAGAAAAGAAAAATTCTTTTTTATAGAGAACAAATTTTCTTGACTCAACAAAATACATTTAAGAACACTAAAATTCTCTTGATTGAAGTAAAATTGATTTGTCTTAAGAAAATTTCTTCTTACTCCAAAAAATTTTTTCTGTATAGTTAAATAATAATAATAACGAAACACAGATGAAAAAGTACTTAACAATTTACGATCTAATAGTAAAAAAATAACACTAAAAATGATTAACGACTTACTGTAGTAAATATGATGAACATTAATAATCCAAATAGAAATATATTACCAACACAATAAATTGAAATATGATTTGTGCGCATAATCCTCTACTATTCACGATTAAAAAGATAAATCCCAAAAAATCAACAATTAAACAATACAATGATTTTAATTAAAATAAGTGAGTTAAAAAATTGTCACCGGTACTCAAAGGATCATCTGGACTGTTAATTACTGCGTGAAGTAAATACGTTAATTCTATTTCGAAACTATCATTGGTAATTATTAAAGTTTATTGGAAATTTCCTTATTAAATCGAGCGGGTACGCTGGAGTCACTTATAAAACGACCACGTGATCCTAAGGAAAGTTTTAGTTAAACTCGGTTGGCTATAATGCGCCCTTACTCTCTGTACTAATCCCTCGACGTTTCTAGCTGACCCTCAACTCCACCCTCGGTCCTCCGAAGGTCGCTTTGAAAGCGGACGCTGCGGTTCTGTTCTAAAATACTCACTGGGTTTATCTGCTCGGAAACCCATCCCGGTTTAAAAATATTGTTCTACCGGTTTTGTGAGATAAGATACCGTCGACATTATCGGTCTCAAGAATGCTACAGGTTCAGCTCTTCCGACATTCTGCAAACATTCTCGTTTGCTTAATCAAACCATCTAGTTTAATATAATACTAAAACAATATTCCTTCCTAGCCCCCAGTCCCTTGCTACTTATCCACACACAAGCAAAGGTAAAGGTAAAGGTAAATACCTGAGGCAAAGAGAGACCAATTGTCGAAATCTAATTGTGTAGTGCTTAATAATAGACATTTAAATGCACGCAGATAGAGGATTCAGGACAGAGAGGCTGCATTGTAGTCGATTGTATAGGCCTTAAGTGGGTAAACGCATTCAAAACCTATCCTTTAATTGATCAGCTGATGAAGCAGTTTGCTGTTACAACTTTACCGTTATTGCTCTAATTAAGTAAACTCTGCTCCTCTGTGGACTCTCTATTGCAAAATGTCCGCGAAAAGCGCAACTCTGTTTACTATAAAACCCATTTTTAGATCGACGATTCACGATAACTCTTCAATTGATGTATGAAAAATCGATGATTATAATCAAAACAATAATATTTTATGTCGAGAAAAATTTGTGGAGTCAACGCAGGTTAAAGAGCTCCAATATCTGCGCATGAGTTTAGCAAAGTGTAACAAATGAAAAAGCGCTACAATTCTAACAGAGCATTTTTTTTGTTCGCAACAATATAATGATTTTTTACACGATTTTTTAATCTCGACATTTTAAATAATTCATTTGTTTCAAGAATACACTGAGAAAAAAAAATACTTTTGCTCAATTAACAATTTCTTGGCTCAAGAAACTCGCTGACGATCAAATATTCTATTCCTATTAATTATTAATTTCTGAAGAGAAAAACATCAATATTTATCTTTGGATAATAGATCAACAAAAGAATAGCTTTATTTAAATTAAGTAAAAATTATTTCAATTAATTTTACAATTTCTTGAGCTAAGAATATATATTCTTGAAAATTTTCAAAAACATAAATTCTTGTATCAAAAAAATTTTCTTAATAAAAGTAATTTTTTTTCTCAGTGTATTTCAATAAAGCTCAATCTTGTTAGAACCAATGTATTTGTTTTAAGTAATCGTTAAAAAAATATAAAAATTGAAAAATCAATCGTTTATCTTTTACTTAAAAAAAACAGAAAAAAAAAAGTCGATTTATTTAAAAACAAAAATTTTTGTGTGTGTGTGTGTGTGTGTGTGTGTGTGTGTGTGTGTGTGTGTGTGTGTGTGTGTGTGTGTGTGTGTGTGTGTGTGTATGTATGTAAACCTCTTGTAACTTTTGAACGACTCGACCGATTTCATCGCGGTTGGTGTCATTTGAAAGGGCTTCACTAAACTTAGATTTCCTGAAAATTTGAACCGATTCGGACCGGTAGATTTCAAGAAAATGCAAAAAAAGTGAAAAAAAAGTTGTTTTTTTTTATTTTTTTTAAATATCTCCGAATTGGCTGAACCAATCGGTCTCAAAAACTAATCAGCTAGATTTAAACTTGAAAATTTTTCATGGAGCTTCAAAAACTGCGTCGATTGCCGCCAACCGCGTGAAAATCGGTTCATTCATTCAAAAGTTATTGCCGTTTGAAAATTAAAAAAATTGTGTCTTTAAACTGCTATTAGAGTTTTGAGCTCGAAGAGCTCAAATTGACACAAAAATAATATTTTTGAGATCGAAGAGCTCAAAAACGTAATGTGTAGTTTGAAGCGTTTAAATACAAAATGAGCGGGAAGTTGCAGGGATGGCCTTTAGGGTGAACCGTTTTTCTAATTTTTTTATTTTATTGGTAACGGGACTTTATATTAATCATGTAACTATTCCATTGGTAGAGACAATAAAGTCAAAAAAAATAATTTTAATTACAAGTTCAATTTGGATAAATATTGAGTTGGCGCCAAAAAGCTGACTTTTTTTTATTTTCAAGTCTTCTTTACACTTAGAAGGTTACGGTAATTATAACTATCGTTTATTTTTAATGATTATTACTATTATTATCTGAAATAATAGTAACCGCTTGCGTGAAAAATCAAAACTGAGATAAAAGTAATTCAAAAATTTTTTGTCAGGATAAAAAAATTCAGATTTTGAAAATATCTTTTTTTGCAGTATGACAGATTTTATAATAATTTTATTCTGTTACTGCAACATGATAATCATGGTGTATTAACATGATTTTATCCTGTCATTATCACAAAACTGTATCATGTTGCAGTAACTATTTTTTTCCATGTACTAAAATTTAAATTGGAGAAATTTTAAGATCCAAAACTCTTCATCCAGTTCAATTTTTTAAAAATTAAACCACTTTTATTTTTAACCCTTTCGAGAAAAAGCGAATATCTAAATTTTTTTATTTTTTCCACGCAATGTTATTAAATACTCACTAGTGTAGTTTATTAGCATGACACAAACATAAATAATTTATCAACTATTAAATAAAATTCCAAAGTATCGAATGTTAACTTTTTACAACTTACCATCGTATCTTATTTAGTGAACGAGTATTCAAATCAATAAGTTTTATTTTTCGTATATTGAAAAAATTCAATTGATAATTTGTTTTTTATCCGATATTTATATTAATAAAAATTTAGCTATTAATTTGCTCCCATTGATAATAAAAATTTATTAAATTACTTTTTATTGCATCATAAATTTTTATTTAATGTTTTACTAAAAAAATATTGCCCATTATTAACAATTAAAATGAATGTGACTCTTAATTATACCTCTGTTATTAATCAAAATTATTTATAAACCCTGATTAAGAAATCTAATTTTAATTGATTAAAAATAATTTGAAACAATTTGAGTTAATTAACATAGATACACACTTTGCATGGATTAAATCATTTAAAATTAGATTTATTAATCGGAGAAACTTGACTTACTGGATCAAGAGTCGAATTAACAAAATATCAAAATTTTTGTCAAGCATTCCTGAACTAAAAGAAACTTCTAACTTGACTAGAGCTTGCAAGCAGTAATTAGAGTTAGTGGTTATTGATTATGGTCAAAGCCAAGATTATAAAGGTAAGCACATACTTGAGCCACCCAGAGTAATCTCTCGCCCTTAAGCAACGTACAATATACTAACGACGCAATATCATCAGCTAATAATAATTAATACTACGGATTCACTGGGTTATGTGCATGTCCAGAGGGTTTAATTAATTACAGTAATTATTCTTCGTACAGAAGACGTTGGTGTTTGCTTTGAAAAATAGTGTCACGATGCGGTGGTCTATAAAATCTTGTTCTTATTGATGATTAATGCATTCAATCTTTATGAATTTATTAGTAGTTGTTTTGTGGTCTAGTTTATTTGGTGATTATGTATTCCTTGAATACTATATGTAATATTGTCTGGAGAATAAATAGCTTCTCTAAAGTTCTTACTAACAATAATCGGTGACTTATTCATTCTATGTAGAAATTAATAGTTAAGAAACATAAAACAAGATCGGTGAGTTAATTTCGGAAATTGCTGAAGAGTCATGATTTGGAGGGAGCAGAGGTATAATTAAAGTTTTATTTGATTAATCTATGAGAGGTTCAATTGTTAAGAATAGATAAAAAAAAATTATGCATAGGGTAGGGCGGGGCTAGTTGATCATAGGGGCAAGTTGTGCAATCGAAATATCTCAAAAACTAAGCAACTTACAACAAAAGTGTAAATGGTGAAAAGAAAGGGTTACGAGAGGAGAACACATCGCGCGAAAGTCAACTGCCGTCCGATGTTTAGACTAACTGACAAAACGTTTTCTTTTTTTTTGCGTCAAAAAAAAAAAACAGGTTTTTAGAATTCTTCTCCTACACTCTTTTAAAAATGCTATTTCGTGATCACGAAAGTATTCAAAGATGACTTAATGTTTGCCCTTTCGATTATATATGATTGTTTATTTTTAATTCTTATCATTTTTTTATAACCTAACTTTTATTTTGTTGCCTCAATTGGGGCTAGTTGAGCAAGGCGCTAACTGCATGTTAAACCAGCCCTACTAGATTTTCAATATTGAAAAATGAAATTTTTCTTTACTAAATTAATAATTATCAATTGATTTGTACATGTAGTGATTTATTATGATGTGTAAAAATTAAAATAACTCATATTGATATTATATTAATAAATAGATAACATAATTATAATTAATATTTTTATGTTTATAATTATTATTATAATCATAATCATACGTATGTAGAATTATAGTAAATTAAATATTTGTTTGTTAATTATAATTTTATTTTGTTTTCATATCATTCTATACAGTAATTTCGTCTATTTTAACCATTTGCACAACTAGCCTCGTACCCATGCTCAACTAGCCTCACTAGTGGGGCACGTTGAGCAATTTGGAGCGCTCGCGTATTTCCGGGAATAACTTGAAAATTTGGACTCAGATCGTTTTTGTGTCGCTAGACCTTTTGAAGAAGACTAAATTACGAACCTAACAGTACATGACTTGATTAAATCCGATACATCATCTTAAAGTTATGGAAGGTCGAATCAAAAAGTGATCAACTAGCCCCGCCCTACCCTACTTAACCCGTAGTGGTCATTAAGGATCTAGATGACCCCAGGCAATTATTGAGTTGCTCTTGCTTCGAAGATATCATTCAAAATGGTATCTGTGGTACCCTTTATTATTGTTTGGAGATTTTTTGAGATTCATGGAAATTTATGATTTTAATTGTACAAATAAATATATACGTTTTGAAAAGCTCAACATGACATTACTTTTTTTCAAAGTATGCGATATCCAGAGTAGCCGTACAAAAAAAATTTTGGTTCATGATGAATTTCCGGATGAACTTCAGATTGTGAAACAAATATAAATTTCATAATGAATTTCACGGCGAATTCCAGCTGAATTTCATGATAAATTTCAAAATATTATTTTGCATTTTGTGTTCTTTTACTTCAAAAAATTTATCCAGATAGAAGTTTAAGAATCGTAAATTATAAGTCAGTATAAATTAAACTAAAAATTCCGAAATAATTGACTACGAATATTTTTTTATAGATTAAAAAAATTAAGTTTCATATACAATTTGTTTCAAATTCATCATGAAATTCAGCTGGAATTCGCCGTGAAATTCATTATGAAATTCATGTTTGTTTCACAATCTGAAGTTCATCCGGAAATTCACCATGAACCAAAATTTGTTTTGTACGGAAACCCCGGAGAGCATTTTTATTTATCTTAAAAAATGAAGTTTTTGTAAAAAAAAGTCAAATTTTCCGAAATTAGACTCTCGCATTTTTTTTTAATGATTGAACAGTTAAAAAAAAATTAAAAAATTATTGAGTTATTCAACAGAAGTAATAGGAATTACTCTCATGTACGGCTCGAGTGAAAATATTGAAAAGAACGCAAGTAGCAACAATTTTTTCCGTGCATGAAGTCAACTAGACCCAGTATGACCACTACGTTATTTTTAAGAAGTGTGACCACTACGGGTTAAGAAAATTATTTTATGATGAAAATTGATTTATTTTATAAAAGATTGAAATATTAATTTATCTGTGTGTGTTTTTCAGACTTTCAAATGCAATTAAAAAAAAAATTCGCTTTTTTCCCATATGAAAATAATTTATTTCAAAAATGTATAAAATGCTTGAGACAGTAAAGAGCGCTATATAAAAAAACTCCCAAAAAACACTATCGATAAAATTTTCTAAAAAAAAAGTTCTCATATTTTTTTTATATTTCTCATAGTTAATTAAAAAAATTGATTAAAAACCCTAAAAAATTTTTCCACAAATTTGACCGTGTAAAAGTCACAAAACACAACTGGAAAAATATATTTATTAATTCTGCTTGGCTTTCAGAAAAAACTTGTACAAAAGACTATTTCTTCTGTAATCTTCCTAATAGCTTTCTCTCTTTTGTCTCCATTTTCCACTTTACGACAATTTTTCGCAGAGTTGCATTCCATGAAGTTTGCGTTATTTTGTTTTCCCAAAGCACCAATTTTAGCGAGTAGTGTATTTGAATAATTGGAAAGCAATTTAAAAAATAAATTGTCCTATGTCTTGCACACTTGAGGCGAGCATTGAGAAATTAAATACTCTATAACTCGTAAACTTAAAAGAATTACCAAGTATAATTTTAATTAAACAGAGTAGGAAAGAAAAAAAGGCAAAAGACTGGGGCGAACTAGATTGTTTGTACAAAAGTTTTTAAGTATCCCATTTCCCATTTCGTAAAATCAATTTGTGATAGTGTGTATGTGTGTGTGCTATATTTTTATTTCTTAAACGTTGTTTCAGGCTCTGGAGAAGGAGACTTTCTACGGGTATCCGCGTTTGGAGAGCCTGGTATTACGTAAATTGCGTCGTATTAAATTTATCGACAATGATTGTTTGCGTTACTTAAAGTACTTGAAAGAACTGAGCATCCAGACGTGGCCTTTGGTTGATAATTTTAATTTACAACGAGTTTTAAGTGGATTACCTCTACGTACAGTGGAGATAGAAGTAACAGAGAAAGTCCTCTCGACGCAGATACATAATACTTTTACAAAACGACTGAGGGAGCTTACGATAACGGGTCAAGAGCTTGAGGCGATTTCCTCCGAAGCATTTTTGACCATACAAGGGGGGAAGCTTATTCTCAGAATCAAGGACACCCACGTAAGACGCTTCCAATCGGATATATTTTTATCACTGGCACGTACCATGTCCCAGCTTACACTTGATTTACGCAACAACCATATCAACGAGCTCAGCCCTTCAGTCATCTACGGCAATCTCTCATGGGAAACTGTTGGCACGAATCTCGTTGCCGGTAACTATAACTATTAAACAAACTTTACCTTCTACATATTAATACTTATTTTACAATTTATCATACGTACACATCTACACATCCATTATGCATTTTCAAACATTTTATTTCTCTTTTTTTCCATGATTTTTATTTTTATTCGTTCGCATCAGCATGACAACCTTTTTATACTTTTTTACTGTACAATTATTCGTATTCAATAGTCATTTACATTTTAATTTGTTTTTACTCGTACAAATGTTATTTTATAATATATATGTATGTTTACCTTTAATCTCTAATTTGGATTTTTACATTTATTAGTCTTAATTCCAATTTATATTTTTAGTATCGAAATAAAATTAATTTACCACTATTTTTATTTACGTCACTCGATTTTAAGTTTTTTTAAGTTTTCGGTAATTTTCATTTTATTTTATTTTTATACGGTGACAGAAAATGTTTGATCTATTTTTTTTTTTTGGAAAATAAACCATGCTTTTTTAGTAATTTGAAGATGAATTATTAAAAAAAAAATTTATTTTCAATTCAAGATTTTTTAATATAATTTTAAAGATTTTTAACGTTTTCTTTTTTTTGGATATATTTTAATTTATTTAAAATTTAAAATCTAAAAAATATCCCTACTTATTCCAATCAGTGAAATTATTAAGATTTTTATTAGAGATGTTAGATGATTTAGTAATGAAATGAAATATTTTATTAATTAGAAAAAAAAATATTTGTCTAATTTTTTTGATGACAAAATAAATAATTATGATCGTTTAAAAAAATTTCGATTCATATATATTTACTATATACATCAAATACATTTTTAAATTCGTAATTAAAAATCGTGTTTTGTCACTCTCAATTTAATACTTTATCATACGCTCTTAATTACTTTAGCTCTCCAATTTTCATAAATAATTTTTTTATTATTTGGAATTTAATGAGTAAATTAAAATAATAAATAGAATAATCAATACTGAAAGTAGCCAACACTGAAAATTTTTTCATAATATAAAAACATTTAATATTGTTATTATTCATAATAATTATAAAATTTTTGCTCTTAAAAATTTGAATGTCCGCTGCTTTCCGTATCGCAAATTTAAATAATTTTCGAGCTAAAAAAAGAATTTCGCCCTAAAAATTTTATATAAATAAAATAATATAACATAAAAATAAAGAAATGATACTGAAAGAATTAGAAATCTGACAATTTTTTAGTCCTAAAATAAACTGTATTTTAATTTGGGAAAATTTATAAAAAAATTTTCTTGAACACATTTGTTTTTTTGAAAAATAATTTTTTTGTTGAAAAAAAAAAATTGTTAGACGTCTGGTACCTTCAATATCACCGATAAATGTAAAGTATATAAAATAAAACTAACCTATGTGTATAAAAGAGTCGGTATACAAGATAGTATAATAATAATAATAAAAATAAAAAAAATAACAATAAAAGATATTATTGCTTTTTAGTTATGTTAGAAGTAGTGTGAAAACGTCCTTAGGTGAGTATATAATATATATTTATAGGATTTGAAATTCTCCAGGTGGTCTTCAGGTGTCGGGGAATCCCCTGGAGTGTGATTGCGAGATCGCATGGCTAAGTCTCTGGTTACGTCGATGGCTCCGTGAGGCCCGGCAAATTCACACAGCCTCCCAGTCAGATGCACGACAACTTCGTAGCCTCGCTGGACGAGCAGTCTGTACGGAAACCACCCCGTCTTACTCGTCAGATCGAGTGCTTCTTACCCTTGGGACGCCTCACACTGCTTGCCAAGCGTCCGCCTTGAGCCCCGGACACCTCTCACGACCGCCATTACCCAAGCGACTCTTGTTTTTCCTCCTTTTTCTCATCAGATTCAGCATCAACTCTACCTAGTGTTTCTGCTTCTACGTCTGATCGCATCGCATTAAGGTAATATAACATAATAATAGTATAATACTTTCTTCAATTTTTATACAACTGTTAATACAACGATCTTACTTTTTATTCGTACTCGTCATTCGAGTATTACTTCGTTACATATTGCTGCTCGAAAAAAAGTTGTGTAACATTTACAACACTAAACTACTAAAATTTTACTACAATTTGAGGCTATTGCATCAATATACGTGCCAGCATAAGTGACAATTCGAGTATTCAGCCCCAGCAGTACTTTTATTTACTACCATGATAAAGTTTAAATATGTAGTACGATAACTTATGATTGGTGTACAATAAACAACTTCTGTTGTTCCTATTACTACACAAATTTATATTTACTTGTATCCATACTATTTTTGTCGTAAACGATATAATAGTACATTGTAAGTACGATTGACTCCATTTTGAAGTAAATTCAGTGAAGAGAAAAACATTAATGCCATTTTAAAATTGGTTTACTACACCGTGTGGTATTTAAAGACGCAATCGTAGTAATACTGAAAACTTTGTTATTTCGCTGTCTTATATCATTGTATTTTAGTATGGAAAAATTAGTTACGAGTTAATGAAAAATAAATTATAAATATTTGAAATTTTCAAAGCTGCCACTCCAGCTCGACTACACGGAAAAAAGTAAACTATAATAAATAATAGTCAATTTATAATAAGTAATGATCAACTGCTAAAAATTACTATTTCAAACGGTAAAATCGTGATTTTACTATTCACTTTATAATATTTACCATTTAAACGTTACAATTTACTCTTTACATGAAAGAAAATACTATTTCAAACAGTAATATTCGCTATGTGAATGTCTAAAATGTTAAAGTATAATAATTAAGAATTCAGACTTTGATATTTATCATTTCGTATCTAAAAAATGATCTTAAGATATGTAAAAAGTATAAAATAAAGTTAGTAAATTTCTAATACAAGCAACGTCAATATTTACAAAGTAAAATGGTAAATTTTAAACCCAACGTTAAAAATCAAACTGTAATTATTGACTTGCTTGGACTGGTAAAATGTATATTTTAAAAGTATAATTTTTACTGTTTCAAATGTTAAATTCTCCCAGAGTGAGACCCCCTTCTCTTTCATCTGAGTTCCCCTTCTCCTCATAATATGGACTATATATTGAAATGGCAATTTTTACTGTTTGAAACTGTAATTTTTTAAGATGAAAGAGTCGTTATTTACTATAGTGACAACTACTAATCACTTATTTTGGATATTAAGTTATAAATTGTAGCTTTTATATTTTCTACATTAAATTCTGTAATATTTATATTTTTGCCACCCCGATGTCTGTTTTACTATTTGAAACTATAAAAATTAACCGGAACCCGAGTGAATATTACAGTTTACTTTTTTCCGTGTACATTCAACCAACCGATAAAAATATGGATCAGTCTAATTACTTATTAACGTGATTGAAAAAATATCCATATTTACTAATTGAAAGTTAGTTTAAGAAATTTAGGACACGTAATATTTTTAATTCGTCATCTGTTTTTATTTAATTGTCGCTCAATTGAGAAAAATTTTGACTCTAAATACGTGATACATATGATATATTTTAATCATCCAAACTTAAACTTTAACAAAAAATAATGAAATCTAATAAATGCCATTCAATAAAATAATTGAAAGCAGAAAAATTGAACTATATTGTGTAGTAGTAAAAGTTACAGTCATAATTTATCATGGAGTAATTTTTACTAGTTAGTGTTGTAAATGATATTGCAACTTATGTTACACCACTCGATTAGTAATCTCATAAGTACGCATGATGTTACTAGTCAGTGCAGTAGTAATATTTACTAAAATTTTTTTCAGTGCGCAATTTCTTTTAATTACGAACGCGGAAATAATAAATTAAATAATAAAGCCGGAAAGTACTGAGTGCTGACAGAAATAAATAAATAAAAGTATCTCTGTAGCTATAAAGACACAAGACATCAGACAGAAGACACAGCTCTAGTTAGTTGCTGGTGTCAACAAAAAGTGACAGGTAGAGTCGACGCTGACAGATGCTTAAATTTACATAGTGACGCAGCTTGTTAAAGTACTTCTTTTTATTTTATTATATTTCATTTTATATTTTAGTATTTATTTCCCCTTTTTCTTCATACCCTATTATTAATTTTTTGCTTTTATACAAACTTGGAAACTTGCAGGAAAGTGAGCGCGAGGTGTGCTCTGAGGAATAAAAAAAGTGTCAGAAGGGAAGAGTTGAAAGGAACGGAAAGGAAAGGAAAGGAGAGAAGGAAAATAAATTGAGGAATAGATTATATTTAGGCGGCAGGCGGCGCTGGCGTGTGTTGAAGACAGCCTTCGACATTTTCCGGCCAGTCACAGACATTTTCATTCGGGTTGAAAACTAAATTTACCGGACACGGCATGTGATGTTTACGTTCGCCCTCGCACATGTAGTACATTGTGCAGTCGTTTTTGTCGGGGTGATACGATATGTGATTATCCTCTTCGTCACAAGTTACCTCGTTAGCTGAAAATAACATTCAAGTTCTCGTTTATTGTCATGTGTCATGTTCACGAGTTTTATTTTGTTTTGGGAAACCGAAAATTGATGGGACATTGTTTTTGGAATTCATAAATTTCATACCAATTATTGATTTACTCCATTGACAGGCAAAGTTTATCACTACAGTCTCAAGGCTAATTATTTTTTGAAGATTCAAGAAATATGTACTACTAAATTTTATAATTTGCAATCACCAACTTTTAATTATTTATTGAAAGTCAATAACTTATGGGACTTGCTACTACGCGAATGAAACTCATTATAAAGTTTGGTTTTACATTAAATCTTGCACTAAAAAAATTACTTGGTTCAAAAAAAAAAATATTGTCTTGAAAATTTTACTTTTGTTTCAAGAAATTTAGTTTTCTTAATTTAAGAAATTAATTCTTGAATTAATTTGTTAAAACTGTTGAATGAGCAGAAAATTATCGAGAGAAGGTTAGGGGCCATTCATTAATTACGTAAGGATAATTTTGGTGACTTTTGACCCCCCCTCCCCTACCCCCATGTAAGTATACGTAAGATTTCTTGAACCCTCCTTCTCCTTTCTTACGTAAGATTCTATATCTTGATCTTCTAAATAATAAACGGTTATTTTAGGAAAGGATCAGTTTCACTAAAACTAACAGGTCAACCAAACATGGATAACAATAAAAACATATGAAATTTTAATAAGCTATTTTTTTTTTTCAATAAGCAATAAAAATTATTTGAATAAAATAAAAATTTGACTGTACACTTTAAAAATAAGAAAACTATTTGGAATCTAAAATGAAATTAGGTTTTTTTAATATTGAATTTTGATTCACGAAATATTACGTAAAAATTAATTTCACCCTCCTCTCCCCCAACATAAGGACATGTAGAGATTTTCTTCACCCCCCCTCCCTCTCAATATCCTTACGTAATTAATGAATGGCCCCTTACATACTTTGTTCAAAAATTTATTTCTCGAGGGTTGATATACGCGATAATATTGATTTAAAATTAACTTTTAATACGCGCAATGTAGAGGAACAGGAAAGTTAGTTAATACACCTTATTATTTTATGCGACATTTCGCAGATATATTTCTGCTTCCTCAGGCGATCTCTGAAAATACAATGATAATTTATTAAAAATTCTTTACAATATAATAATGATAATAAAATTATTACAATCAAATTATTATAAAAATAATTATAAATTGATCGTCAAATATCATGTACCACCATAACATAGAATTATTTTTGTCGATGTAAAGAATTTTATAATAGTTATCATTGTATTTTCATAGATCGCCCGAGGATGCAGAAGTATTTCCTGTTCCTCGACATTCCTCAGATAATAAATTAATTTACAGCTTATGGGATAGAAACCTGGAGCTTTTGGCTTAAATTATTACCAACTTATTTCAAGAATTCTGTGAAAACAAATATTGTCGGATTTTTGCGACATTCTGTCATAAAAAAAAATTCTTTATACTTTACAGGACATACTGAAATTATTTTTAATCTAAATAATCGTTCTTGAATTAAATATATATAATGTGATCTTATAGATCGAAAATAATATTCGTTTGAATCAAGTGACATTAATTATAAACCAAAGATATAATTATCTGACACAAAAAACTCAAAAACTATAAAATATTGTTTAGATAAGAATTTTTTCGCTTATGAATTTATTAAAGTGAGCTATTAAAATTTTTATTAATTTATTGACAAAAAAATTTCAATATTTTTCCTTGTTTTTATAAGTAAACATACGAATTGCTTTATTTGATAACTGTCAGGAATATATGTTCTTTTGTAAAGAAAAGTTTCTTGACAGAAGTTTTTTTTTTTCAATGAAAGAGAATCAATTTTTTTTCAACGTGACAACCGATTTTCTTCCTAATAGTTTTCTTGAATCAAAAATATAATTATTAAAGTTTTTCTATTAGTGTGTAACTCAAAATAATAAACTTTTGCCTTATTTGAAATAAAATATTAAAAAATATTTTAAATAAAAAAAGAAAAAAAAATTGAATTCCAAAAACAACATTCCATTCATAAAAATTTTCCAATTATATTAAAGCATTATACGTTATACTGAAACTTGTAACAATAATAATTGTGCGTCGATGAGACGAGTTGTGAAAATGGTTTTTAATAATTAACGAAAGGTTGCTTACGGTCTTTGGTGGTGTACTTTCCGTTGCGAGTCGAGGTCTCGTAAGGGCCCTCGTACTCCAGTTTTACTGAGTAGTTTAATAATTCATTTTTCATTGCGCTTATCAAAGGGTACTTGCCCGCGCCACAGCTTCCGCGGAAATCATCCATGTCCACGGACCAAATCATAATACCACCGAAGCCCTCCTCTTTCAGCCAATTCATCTGAGTGAGAAACAAACATGTTTATTATTTGTTGATATAATATATTATATTATACTGTATTGTATGAAATTAGTTTTTTTATAACCGAACGATCAATTAATTAATTATTAATAATAATGAGCAATATAAATATATAAAGGCACTTTAGAGTCAATGCTAGATCGCTCAATATTCAACATATCAGTTCCCAGGGGAGTTTATAATTCCTAGATTGTCACGGGAATTTTCGTGTAAATTAATTGTAAAAACATGATAGTGTGGTAGCTAGTATAAGAGTATTGGGGGTGGCGATCGAAATTCCCTGGCTGGAGATTAAATTTTTCTCCATTTTACGAGGACAGTTATTAACTCAATGAAATACTGTTAATTAATGCCTTTTCATCCGGGTTATTAATAATTATAATTTATAATTGTGCTGGGAAATGCGAGTACTTAAATAATTTTATCATAGTTTGTGATATCTTTGAGGAATAAAAGGTTTTATGGCAAAAATTAAAGACAAATATATATTAATTAATTTTTGGAGGAACAATTCATGCGACTATGTCATTAAATTATTATATTATGTAAACACGGTTATACGATCATGTTTGATATTATGAATATAGTGTTTATTATAAATGAATAAATTAATAGCCTAATAATGGTTAATTAATAATATTTATCTGTTGATTGTACTAACAATGACATTAACGCAGTAGCGTTTTATTTTATGCACAAGAGTGTAATGAGTCTAAAATAGTATGAATTATATTACGCAATCTAAAATCCTCCAAGTATTATGTAATCAAAGAGAATATTGGAACTGAAGTGGTACTTATCGATAACCGGAGTGGTATCGGAAATTATTGAGCATTGATCACATTTTAAATACTTGATGATGATGAAGAAGAATATATAATATAAAATTCAATCTTTATTTTGGGTTTTATAGCTGAAATTATGTGTAGTCATGCATGACCATGTGTAAAATTCTGCATGATCACGCATGATATTGTCGAATAACGTATAATGTTCCATAAAAACGCATGATTTAGAATTTTCTGTCATATATGTTCATATGTATACAGAGATAGTTACGAAGAATTAAGCCAAATAATACATGTCATTACATATAGAATCATGCATGACTGCATGTAAAATCGTACATATGTTTTTTTGAGTAAATTCTAAATTTTAATTTTTTATGTTTTATATGTTCATATGTACATAGACATGATTATAAAGAACTAGACATAATTATAACATCACATCATACATCAGCGTGCATGATTATTTAAAACCACATTTGTTTAATCAGTATTTTGGATTTTTACATGATATTAAATATGATCAATGATCATGCATGTTTATATGTAGAGTCACATATAATGTATAAAAACGCATCATGAGGATTTTTTGTCATAAATGTTCATATGCACAGTTGTAATCGCGAAGAATTGAGCTTTATGATATAACGTATTACATATGGAATCATGCATGACCTCGGGTGGAATAATATGTCATTTTGTAGAGTAATTTCTAGTTTTGAATTTTTCATGGCTCATATGTTCATATGTACATAGACATGATTACATAAAACTAAACATAATCATATATCATATCATATATGAATATACATCAATAGTGATCACATATTGAGATCAATCACTACTTTGGTTTTATGCATAAAATCATATGTGATATATATGATCACATGTGGAATTATTTATGATCATGCGTGGTCATGTGTGAAATTATGTGTCATTACACTAAAAAAAATTAGCTTGATTCAAGAAAAATTTTTTAGTTCAAAAATTTTTTTTTTAATCAAGTTAATTTTTTTTTCAGCGCATATGTGATCATATGTGGAATTATATATGATCATATGTTAAATCATGCATGGTCGCATATTGAATCCGCATACGGCTAGTCATATATAATATTTGATCAGATTAATATGAATGTATGATCATTGAATATATGTATAGAGTTTCTTTTTGGAGGTATTAAATTTCTACATTATGATAAAAATTCAGACTGTAATAGATAGTTAAAATAAATTTTTCGTAACCAGGTTGTAAATTTCCTTTATTTTTTGAAAACGAAGGAAATTTGTGAAACTTAAAAATGAATATCCAGATCGATCGCCACCCCGATATTTAATTAGAGAATTAAATTTTAGAGGTGGATTTTTCTTGACTTTTTATCGGGAGACTAATAAAATATTTGGTTAGGATAGAAAGTCGAAAAAAATACTTGAAATAATCTAGAGTAACAATTGGATGTAAAATGTGATTTTTAGTAGAGTATGTATGTATGTATTATTTGTTTTTCACAAAAAAGTATGTTTTTATAGTATAAATTACCTTATTAATAAGACTCCTTTCGTCATCAAAACCGACCCACTGGTCACCTCTGTATGCAAACGGCACCTGCTGTTCGCTATCCCAGACGAGGGTCGTGTTGTCCTCGTTCAAGAAACTACACACCTAAATAAATAAAAAAAAAAAATATTAAAGTAATATTTAAATTTGAATATTTATAATAAAATAAATAAAAAAAAAAAAAAAAAACAAAAAAAGAAGCGCAAACGGATTTAAAAAGTAAACTATACCGATGTGATAAAAATAAAATGTTAAAATAAAAAACAAACTAGTGCACGGCACGAAAGTAAATGCAACGAAGTATTATGTGAATTCTTGTCTTAATTTCCATAGAAAGTACCTCGTAGTAAGAGAGAAAGCCAGACTCGTTAGTAAAGTTCCCAGGAACTCCACCCCCGGAGGCTGGTGCACCGATGTCAAACTTGTCCTTGTCTACCAGCGTGAAGGATCTTCCGTACGTAGGCATTCCTATCATTAGCTTCTCCTTCGGCGCCCCCTGTTTCACCCATTCGCGAGCACTGTAATCCTATTTGATGCGAAGAAAAAAAATAATAAAATTTAATAATATTTTAATCTATTCCAATAAAAAATAACTACTTATGTATAAGATTTACTTTTAAGTGTATGCTAAATAATGAACTTTATTAAGAGGCAACATCACTGTGAGTTTTAAAATTTTGACTTTTGGATTTAAAATATTTTACTTAAAAATTTCAATTATAAAATTAAACATTTTTACTGTAAAAATATTGAAAAATAAAAATTGATCTGATTTTTTTTCTCATCACAGGGGTGTTTCCACTGAAATAATTATTAAGATAAATGAAATTTATTTTTTATCATGTAAGTCAGTTTGAATTTAGGTAAAAGTAATGAATGCATTGAATAAAGTCGTGTAATGCGAGTACAAAGGAATAATGTTATAGCTATAAGTAAAACTAAAAAAATATATATAAAAATATAAATATAAGTTGCAAGTATATATAAATATATAAATATGTACATAAATAAAAATGAATATGAGTTAATCAAATGAAATAACAGTTTGTTTTCTTACCACGGTGAGTTTCTTTTGATAGCTGGTTGCACTCTCTAAGGGATGCAGCGGACTATTGTGTCCGACTTGTCTCTCCCAGTGCCCATGGAAGTCGTAAGTCATTACGTTTATAAAGTCCAGGTACTTAGATATTTCAGGAACGTCGTACCTGTAAGAATAATAAACCTTTTTCATTAATATAAAATGCTTGTAATAATTTGTTGTGTTATAATATTTAAAGTCACCATAGCCTCAATTAGAAACAATTAATTCATTTTGATCACTAAAAAAATCAGGTGGCGGTGTTTGCGCACTCAATGACTAGATTCACGAAAGATGTTTCAAAATCCCTCGGGGTTGCACGAGTCTCGACTTCTTCATACTTTGGCAATTTCAAACGGAGAGTCGCAGTAAGTAATAACAAAAGTTTAATCAAATAAATATTTTAAGCTTCTTCAAACCCTTGCTTCAAACTTTTACGCTATTACACTTTTTGGCAATTCAACAGAACCCGCGTTCTGTTGAATTTTGTAAATGCGAGTTTCGAGGTTCTCGAATTAAGGTAACGACTGTCAATAAGTTCAGATCGACCGCTAAACTTCAGGCCCCTTGTTAGGCTTATTTTAATAAATTTTCTATTGTATTCCTGATGATTTTTTATATTATAATTTTCTGCTGGAGTAATTACGAAGCTCTTTTGTATAAAAAAAAAAAAGTTTGGAAAATCGAAAAGTGCACGACTCATAATGCTCATTTAATCATGAAATATTAATAAAACAAAGAATGTGAAAAAAAAAATATATAAAACCGCTAAAAAACAGCTGTACTAGGAAGGTAATGCAAAGGCGCTCCTGGTGGAATAAATGTACATAATATCTATAGATATAGATATATCACCATCCATGTTAATTTTACATGGATATATATAGATATACAGACTTGTAGTTTTCGTTTTTTATTAATTGTAATTAAGCGACACTGAATTAATTAGCCATTCGCATTTGGTGATCTTCAATTATCGATTAGAATTAAAAAAAAAAATAAATTTAACTCAAATAATTGATTTTTTCACAAGTTACAGTGTTTCCGGAGTTTCATACATGACGGACAGGAAAATTTTTTGGCCTATTTTGATATTTTTTTCCGTTTGTATTGCACTAAATCAATTTTTAAAAAGTATGGAATTAATCTCCATTAAGTTATCTCGACAATAGTATGTAAAATATCTTGATTCCATGAACTAACAAGGCTATAATAATAAAAATAGTTGCCAAAATGAGGCGAAAAAAATTTTTCGATCGTAAAGCACACGGAAAAAAGTAAACTGTAATATTCACTCGGATTCCGGTTAATTTTTATAGTTTCAAATAGTAAAACAGACATTGGGGTGGCAAAAATATAAATATTACAGAATTTAATGTAGAAAGTATAAAAGCCACAATTTATAATTTAATATCCAACATAAGTGATTAGTAGCTGCCACTATAGTAAATAACGACTCTTTCATCTTAAAAAATTACAGTTTCAAACAGTAAAAATTGCCATTTCAATATATAGTCCATATTATGAAGAGAAGGGGAACTCAGATGAAAGAGAAGGGGGTCTCACTCTGGGAGAATTTAACATTTGAAACAGTAAAAATTATACTTTTAAAATATACATTTTACCAGTCCAAGCAAGTCAATAATCACAGTTTGATTTTTAGCGTTGCGTTTAAAATTTACCATTTTACTTTGTAAATATTGATGTTGCTTGTATTAGAAATTTACTAACTTTATTTTATACTTTCTACATATCATAAGATCATTTTTTAGGTACGAAATGATAAATATCAAAGTCTGAATTCTTAATTATTATACTTTAACATTTTAGACATTTACATAGCGAATATTACTGTTTGAAATAATATTTTCTTCCATGTAAAGAGTAAATTGTAACGTTTAAATGGTAAATATTATAAAGTGAATAGTAAAATCACGATTTTACCGTTTGAAATAGTAATTTTTAGCAGTTGATCATTACTTATTATAAATCAACTATTATTTATTATAGTTTACTTTTTTCCGTGCACTCTCTGATGTTTCACATAATGAGTCGTGCAAAAAACCGAAAACATTTATTTGTTTGTATTAATTAACTATACCCATTAATGTAGTATGAACCGGTATTTATAGGCTTCTCAGAATTAAAAGTCTCCAATTTCAAATAAACTTTCTCAAGTATATCCGATAATCTGGTAGAAAGTAATATAATAAAGACATTAGAGATAAAATCCAAAAATATTTACTTATAAGTGTTAACTGAAAGAGTGAATAATATATATAAATAACATGTTATAAAATCTTTTAGAGAAGTTCTAAAAAAAAAAAATAAATAAATAAAAGGGAAGGAAAAAAAGTTGAACAAATATTCTATAAAGTAGTTTTGAAAAGTTATTACAGCGCGAGTAAAGCAATTTAAGCTTGAGAAGCATTTTATATCGAGATGTAGAGTAAGATTATTTACCCAGCGGCAATGGCTTCAAAACTCGCTGGTACTGCTGCTGAAAGAATCAATTTAGGTTGGCCAGAGTCTTTGGCTTCGCCTTCGAACGCAAGTCTCAGCTCTTTCAGAAGATTCACGTAAGCGGCCTTGTCGTCAGTGCCTCTGAAACATACACATATACATATACACTTAAATTTATATATGTCTAAACATATGTGTAGAAAGTATATATGCTCACGTGTAGAGTGAACACGTACATAGAGGACAATGCAGAAGGTAATTTATGAATGGTCCCGGCTTGTCTATTTTATAGTTTTAGCTTCACATAAAATTAATCTGTATAGCACTTACCGCGGATATTCCCAGTCGACATCGAGACCGTTAAATTTGTACTCCCTGAGGAACTCGATTGCCTCGTAAACGAACTGATTCATACGGAATGTATTGCTGGTGAGTTCTTTGAATGGTGTTGAACCAAATGCCCACCCACCAATTGCTAGTAATACCTGATGTCAGAAAAAAAAATTCATATTTTACATTTTTTGTTATTTCTTCTTGCAGATAATCCTGGATTTAGTTCAACAATTAAAATATTCGAAATAATAAATTTTCACTCGAATGACTACAAATTCCTGTATATAATTATGAAAAAGTACAATTATTTTTATAAAATTTTCTATTTTTTCCGAAGATCGGTGTTTTTACTAATTAAAGAGTTCTATATTTCAAAGCCATTATTCCCGATCCAAATTGATGTTAGACTAATTTAATTTTTTATTAAATTTATTTTCACCACATTATTGTCAGTATGAATACTCAATACCATCCTCGGGTGAATATATCTAATAATTAAAAATTTTTTTATTTTTAATTAAGATTAAGCAAAGAAGTTAATTTTTACTCAGTGAAACTTTTTTCAGTTACTGAAAAAATAATTCAGAATGCTCAGACTAGGATTATTTTTATAATTAAGCACTGTAAAAAATTTTCCGTCATTGCGTTAAAAAATTTTGTGTTAAATATTTAACACTTTTTTGTGTTAATCTAAGAGAATTAACAAAAAAAATTAAATTTACACATAGAAGTGTATATGGTAAAAAGAATTTTTTTGGCCTAATTATAAATAGACTCAAATTTTTCGTTACATAAAATTTCGATATTTTTTTGTAAATATTGAAGAAAAAATGTGAAAAATTGTAACAGGCATATTTTTATCTTAAAATGGATTTTTTTAGTTAAGTATGGAAGGTCTATATATTTTTTTAGTGATAGTCAATTTTTTATTTCAAGTCCTGGAGGAGTTTTGAATGGTTTGTTATTTTTCTTACTATGCTGGTCGAAAGTACGGGTTCCCGCTGCGATTTCACTGCAGAAAGCCTCACATTTATGCCGTGGTCGAATCGCGCATGCGCTCTACGACGGGGAGCCGAAAAAATGTATCCATGCACTGACAACGAGTCACGAGGCGGCAGAAAGTCCGAAAGTCGGTAGTCGCGCTCACTCTATTACTTATGTATACAAGCCTAACCTTACTTGTGATTGTTATGAATGTATCTGTTTTGTTATGTATCAATGATTTTAGGTTGAAATTAAATTAGTTACAGAAAATGAATATTTATTTTAATAAAATGAGACTTGTTAAATATTTAAATTACAAATAAAAAAAAAAAATATTTTATTCTGATAGATTTTCTCAAATAAATAAATAAATTCATTATTAAACAAGTAATTATTTTAAAAAATACACAAACAGATTTTTAAAAAAATTTTTTTTTCTATGCATTTCACGATTATGAATTCATTTTTGTGTTTTTTTTTTTTTTATTTTTAATATCAGAATTAATTTATAATATATTTAAAACTTTAAAATTATTGAATTAAATTAAAATCTTTTCTCAAAAGAAAGTAGTAATACGATAAATTATATATTAAAATCTTTATTGACAGGTGTATTTGATGCCTGCCCCCCCGACCAGCAGCACTCGCTTCGCTCGTGCCGCAAATGTCGGGGGCAGGCATAAATTTTTTTCAACGCAATTTTTAACGTACTTTCGACTGCATAGCAAGAAAAATAGTATACACTACATGGGCAGAAATTTGAGAGCCCTGAACTGAACCTCGACTTCGCCTCGGTCACATGGCGCGCAGTGCAGGAATCTCAACTTTCTGCCCTTGTAGTGTAATATACTATTTATTAATTTTTTCTGTCGCATTTTTCATTGAATAATTATTAATTGATCTTGTAATAACGATATTATTTAATTAATTTATAAACTACCTCAACCATGTATATTGTAGTGAAAATATAAAAAAAAAACATAGTTAATTAACAATAGTATTTAGTTCCAACTAAATTTGATTTTCTACCAAAGTCTTGTTTCAACCAAAAGTTAAATTAAATCACACGCAAAAAAAATTTTATCGTGACAACATAAGATTTGTTGTGGTAACAAATGAATATGTCAGCAGAGGGCTAACAAATCATATTATATTTTATGTTTTTATTTTTAAACAATACACTGAACCCTACAGCAAAGCCAATAAGCGGGTTCCATTAGAAAAAAAAAAAAAATAACAGTTACATAATGTTTGAAAATAGTGCTTATAAGTAATAGTAATAGTAATAAGTCCATAATTGAAGAAGCTAGTAAATATAAACATAAAGTGCTCTGACTCAGTCTCTACTTAGTATTTAGTAAACACAGTTTCGAGAAACAATCAACATTATTTATCTGATAGACATCAAGACTATTATCAATATTATGAAACTTGTTAATACATTAAACGATACATAGGAACATCATATGTATAGTAACAAAATCTAGGTTACAATAAGTAATTCAAATGTTATAACAATAAAACAGCTTTGTTATTATCGCAGAACCTTTCAGTTAATTTACCAAAATTTTTTAGTTGAATGAACAAATCGAGGATGTATTAAGTCTATTTTAAATGTTTTATTTTGTACATGTAGCAATGCAAAGTTATCAATTGTATATCCCGGAATTGATCTCTAAAATAAATTGTATTCGATATAACTTAAAAGGATTGAAATTGAAATGAAATCTTTAATCTCACAAATCGTTTATCTTTCCTAGAGTCTATTAGTGGAACGTCTAAGTATCTATAAGTCTCATTATCTATTTGTGTTTAATTGAGTCTTGACAAATCTCCAGCTTAAAAATTAATTTACTCTTATTCTTCCCCTAACTCTAAATAGCGTAAATTAATTTGATAATTTGAAGACCCTATAAGATAGCAGAACAATTATCTAGACTTAACGTCTAATAACTAAATTATATAGACTTTACGTCTATTAACTTCTAATACAGAAGGAGAAATCAAATGTTAAGTTCCACTGAACCGATCTCACTTTCGTTAGACCGTACTCTGTATCTATCTCGCGAAAGTTTGTAATTTGCTGGATTTCTGATAGTCTCTATGGGTTTCACATCTTGAATTGTTTCTCTTTGGCTGCCGGAGAATTCCGAGTGTGGTTTTTAATCAAAATTTAGTGTTCAGTTACAATAAAAAAATTTATTTATTAATTTTAATTGAATAACTATGACTTTTACCAGAAGTATGTTATTTATTTTTAGATCTTCAAAATTTAATCCAGAATTACATTTCTAAACTTTCCCAAAAAAAAAAAAATTAAATCGGACTCTAAATTTGTTTGAATGCATAATTGACTGGAGACACTACTATGGTTTAGAATAGATTAAAAATTTAATATTTTATAGTATTAAAGATAATTTTGTTTCCTGAACAAATTATTCATCACAAAATTTTGTAATAAATCTTAAGAATCTTTAATTTGATTGCCCCAATAATTTAAAATTGACAAAGTTCAAAAATTTATCCACCAGAATTAAAAACAGCAATGCTATAAGTAGTACTCAGGTTGAAATATTTAACTGGGCAATTTAAAAGTTAAATGCCTCTTGAACTATAAAATAAAATAAAACAAATCTATTTTTAAGTATTGTTTAAAAACTTATATCAATCATTCAATAATACATAATTTTTCTATGAATTAAATTAAACGATTTTTTATCGTTTAAATAAAACTTTTCACCAAACTAAATCGGATAATATTTATCTGGCGTTTTTTTTTTACTGGATTATGCAACGTATTTATTGCTGTAAGATAGTATAATTTAAAAATGTAAAATATAAATTATTAAGGCATAAATCGCAAATTTTTTTCACGTACCGTATTTTTTCTATTCCGTATTGTGCAGGGAAAATTTATTATTCCTCTAATCTATTTATTACCCAATGGACAATAGAAACCTTATATATAAAGTTAAATAAAAAAAGTACTCACTTTCAAGTCCGGATTTTTCTCTCGGAGTGCTATTAACCGTTCATACATCTCCGGGTCCTTTTCGTTGCCCTCCACCAGCAAGTGATTTTTCAAGGTTGCAAATGAGTAGACAACGTGGGTGCAGAGACTGGGATCAATGTCCTCGGGAATAAATCTTCCAGCACCCCCGCGTTTATGTGCCCAGTTTGTTAAGTAACAAAACGTCAGTGGTTCACGTTCTAAATAAAGTAAAACTACTTTAAATCACTTCTTTTTTCACAGTTATTTATGTTATAAACTAATTTTTTAATTTAAGCAATTTTTACGGAAAAATTTTAAATACAAGAAACTTTTTGCATAACTTATGTATTTCATTTTTCAAGAGTTAACGGGCTTGTAAACACTATAACTTTTTAAAAATACAATTTTTAAATTAGACTTCTTCTTGAGTCCTTTTATATGATTAATGGAGAGAACCCTTTTAAATATCTTTGCTCAATATTGGTTTGTTTAATAGTAATTAATATATTTAGGTTGGCAATCACACGCAATTTCCTACACTGAAAAAAAAATTTAACTTGAATTAAGTAAAATTTACTTAAACCAAGAAAAATTTCTTAGTTTAATAATTTTTCTATTCAAATCAAGAAGAAATTCTACAAAATTATTTACTCGATTCAAGTAAATTTTTTTTTCTGTATACTTTCTGATCACCCGTAATGTTCATTTTTTTTAAACATCCATTTATTTCACGAGTAAATACAGCTGAGATCGGAATTCTACTATTTCACTGTATTGTTGAAAATCACCACAAGGTGGCGCGGTAGTGCACTTCTACCAGAACCTACAGTTTCTCTCAAACAAGAATGGCCTGTTCTAAAATTAATCGTTGAGCCCGTAAGTTTAAAAATACTAATTATTATGTACTTGGATACCTAAAAATTTTTATCACGGTCAAAAATTTAATTTTAATTATAAATAAATATTTTAAACTTTTTTTTTTTATTTTATTTAGACTGTATTTTTTTTCATACTGCAGTATAATGAAGGTGTAATTTAGTCTTCGTTTTTTTAAATTAACCTCTAACAGAAGATTATGTTAAAATTCAAAACTTTTTTTATAACTACTAACTCAAAATAATTTATCTATTACTTAATTATTATTTTTAAAATATTACCAAACTTTTGTTCATAATATATTTTAGTTTATTAATTCAAAGTGTCTAGTAAGTCCAAGAAAAAATTTCTTAACTCTTCTTCGCAATAAATCAATTTTACAAAGTACGAAGTGTTTAATTTTCAGGTAATAAATTATTGAATAAAAAAAATTTTATTATTATTTCAAAGATTCCAAGACTTTTTCCTTAAAAAAATTAAAAACAAAAATTAAAGAAGTGAATCACAAACAGATGTTGACATTTATAAGTTTTGAGGAGTTAATCTGGAAGATTTAGTATTTTGCCGCATTAATACTTAGTATGTCTGTTGGAATTAAAACAAACAAAAAAAAAAGAAAGTAAACAAAGTATCCAGAACTGTATTTTAATTTTCTCAAGAAAGAGGGAAGTTAACACCTTTAATGAAATCGTAGAATGGAATTTTTAATAATAGTCTCAGCGACATTTTTAACGCTTTCTTCATAACCATTTCAAAGATCTCGCTCAGGGAAAAATAATTCATATCTCCGGAGAAATATGTCTCGATTTCGGATTCAAAATGGATTTACATACTCTCGTAAAAAAAGTTCAATAATGTTCACCAGGAAAATCGTTCGAATGTGAGATTATCTGGTGAAAAAAAAATTCTTCCTTTTTTTTTTAAACACGCTAGAGGTGAAATTCAAGATTTGTTGCCGGTTTAATCGAGAAATTATAAATTATAAATCTTCTTCGTCTAATACTGGAGGTGCTTTATCGCAAAAATGATGAAGTTTTTAAATTTATTGCATTTGAATGTATTGAAATATGAATTATATCGAAATTTTTTGAAAAAAAAAAATCTATTTGATAATTGCATGTAAATGGGAACAAACATTTGGAAGTTTAAATTTAACTCCAACATAATATAAAAAAATTAAAGTTTCTGGTTTCCGCTGTAGTGTAAATAAGTAATGTGAACATTTCTTTTTGTGCGTTAATTATGTAGCTAAAAAAATTAAATGAAATTACATTTAATTAATTAATTTTTTTTTTTTCACAAAAATAATGTCACAGAAAACAATAAAATTGTTGTAATTTGAAGTACTGAAAAGGTTGCGCAAATTAAACCATTCAAGGTTAAAAAAAAAGTATAAGTTGAAAACTTTTATAATATCTACTGTTATGATATTGAAATCAGCAGAAATTAGACCATTTTTAGTTTTTTTAAAAGTATGTTAAAAATTGCATTCTATTTTTCAAAACTTTTAAACGGAATTTTTAACTTCCCGTTAACAAAATTGAAAATTTTCGAAAAAAGGGAAGTTCGGTCTGATTTTCGAAAGCCGAGTTTTCATCGGATCTCCCCGTTTTTTGGCCTCAAATTTCTCAATTAATCAATATAAAGCTGTACATTTTCTTTTTGTGCTTTAAAAACTGCGTCGAATGCTTTTTTAACAAACTTAGCAGGAAGTTCTAGGGTTGGCCTGCGTGGTCAACCAATTTCCAGATTTTTTCTTTAAGGTAGTACGGTTATGAAAGCAATATTTTAAGAAATCCTCGAAACTTTGAATATAAGTCATTAAATACATAATACATATGCTGTTAAAATTTGAAGACGATTTACCGTACCAAACTTGAGATAATTGCAATTGAAAATGACATTTTTGTACATGTAACATAGGAGAAACGTGGGAAAATGACAGTATTTTTAATTTTTTCCATCGAAAAAATTTCACGACTTTATCAAAAAACTAGTAGATTAAAGAATATGATACTTAGAACAATTAAAAAAAAAATGAAAATTATTTACCGTGTAGTTTTCGAGATTAATTAAAATAAATTTCACTTTTAGAGGATTATTTTTAGGAGAGGGGGTACGAAAAACAGCTGCTAGTCACTGAAACCGTAGTGTGTGTGTATATGTATAGAGAATATAGAAGTCGACGAGTACAGTAACGTTAAAAAATCTTAACCTACAACCTTAGCTCTGTCGATACGTATAACATGGATAGTGAGTCAAAATTTTTTATCTGGATTGTCGCGGAAGTACTACCTTAATAATTAATTTATTTATTAAAATCCTTTTTAAAAATCTAATCGTTATAAAAAGGTGAAAAAATCACTTTTTGCTAATCATACATTTTTGTAAGCGATATCGACATTTGAAGTAAATTTTAAAGCATTTATAATTCTAATTCTTGAGAAGATATTAATGAACGTTGAAATGTTAATGAGTTTTGTTCAATTATTCTTTGATAGACCAAAAAAATTTATAAATTACAAAACTAATTTTAACAATATACACACACATAAAAATTATTTGTTAGGACAACAAAAACAGGGATAACAAAAAAATATGCTGTGATAACAAATGAATTTTTCTGCCCTCCGGCCGGAAAGTGGCAACTTTCTGGCCGCTGCGCTAAACAAAGTTGCCACATTCCGGCTACGTCGAGCAGAAAAATATTATACACACCTTGGCCAGTAAAAAGTAAAGCCTCAGACCACATGTTTGTCAACCTCGGCTTCGCCTCGGCCAACAATTACATGTGGTCTGAGACTTTTCTTATTTTACTGGCCTAGGTATGTAATCTACTATTCTTATCAATAAAATTTGTGACTTGAACAAGCTATTCCGTTGCTTTAACAAATCGATTTGTTACTTCAACAAAACTATTTTTTTTAAATAATTGAAAGATTCGGTTACAATAACAAAATAATTTTGTTGAGTTAACATCTGAATTACTTATTATAACCTATGTGTTTGTTAACACAACATATTATTTGTTATCCCTATATCAACATAACAATTTGTTGTCAATTCTTTCCCGCTTCACAGCATTATTTATATTTGTTAAAAATGCTAACCGTAAGATGGACGGTGTGGCTTAATGTATATAGAATAAGTGAAAGGAAATTTAGTATAGACCGGATAGCTCAAATGGTAGAGTAGCCGACATGTCTTCGGAAGGTTCTGGGTTCGAATCCCAGTCCGAGCTATCTAATAATTTTTTCTCGCATATTCTATAAACTCACATTAAGATGATTCACAACTTATTTTTTGTTACTCTAACAAAAAATTTTTCTGCGTGCACTTTTTTATCTGCTTTCTACATATTAATAAACATAAATTAAATTCTAAAGTTATAAAATCTTTTGACATTTCGAAATTCTTAGCATTTTCGTGACTCGTTACTGACTAATTAAACCTTAATAACTGCTAAATAATGTTATTGAGATCGGTAATAATAATGGATTGATTATAGAAAAACTAAAGAAACTGATAGTCTATAACTCCTTGAATTTAAAGTAAGAATCTGACATATGTGGATTCAAATTTAGTAATTAATGATAATGATCTAATTGTAATGAGTAATGACTATTCTCGTTTACCATGAATGCCATAGTATAAAGGTAAACAAAGTAAAGGTAAACAGAAGGAACACCATAAAGACTAAAAGACATTAAATCAAGATAAAAGATAGTAACCTCTAGGCGGTGAATTAATGACTAGTGAGGTCGGTTTCGACACCTTTTTAGCCTTGCTGAGAACCTCTGAGGCTGGAATCTTGTAGGGCTCTGGTTTTTTAATGACGACTTCACTGACAGTCGCCGCGACGGTACTCCAATCAACATCTTTAGCCTTTACGCCACGGGATACGCCGAGGAGTTCCTCCCTCATTGCGCCTATCAGCGGGTACCTCACGTTTCCGGGACACGCGGTTCCATTGAAGTCATCCATGTCGACTGTCCAAACCATGGCACCTCCATATCCTGAGGCCTTTATCCATTTCATCTTCCCTCTAATGGACCTCTCGTCATCAAAGCCCACCCATTGATCGCCATCCACCAAGTATGGCACCTTCATCTCGTCATCCCATACATATGCTGCTCCACTTTGAAGCATCTCGCATATCTAAAATGAATCGGTTTTATTATTATTATTATTATTATTATGTAATTAATTTGAAGACGATGTTAAATAATAGATAAAATATTAAATTGTAATTTCTAGTTTTATCGTTTCTAAAAGTCAAAATTGAAATTTTATCATAAAATTAACTCTTAATTTTATTGAATTATATCGTAAGAATTACATCCAGGATTTATACAATTACATTCCACATATTAAGTTAAATAATTATTATTCATCTGAAGTCTCTGTGAGTCTATAAATAAAAGTATCTCAATGAATGATTCAAGTCTTTATTGAGTCTTACTGTGACTTTCGTTTAATCTGAACTGATATGTCATAATTGATTTAAGATGATGAAAATAACACTGTTTCACAGTTAGATTAATATTTTCGTATCTTCAATATGTGTCAATTATTTTCGTAAATTTACGTGAAAGATATAAAATCAAATTAGATTTCGAAAGGATATTAATACCCTTATGTTATTACATTATCTGTTATAGTAAAATTGATTTTTGAAATCTAGACTTTAAACTCGACTGAAATATTTCTCTTATACTTCTACTTCAACAGATTAAAAATTTAACTCTCGAAGTACACACCTTCGAATAGAATTTAGAGTACACACAGGGTCAAATTGACCCCACTTGACTTTCGAAGAATTACATCTCAGAAACTATGCATTTTATCGGAATTCAGGTTATTAAATTTTTGGTAGGTAAAACAATGCTTTTTTGAATACAATCATTATTATTCTGAATTAAATAGTTTTTAATGTTGAAGAAATTAATTAAAAACGAACCTATTTTCGAGAAATATTTTAGAATAAAAAAAACTCTGGGGTCAAAATGACCCCCAGTGTACTCCGAGGGTTAAAAAATCCATGATGTTAATAATGTCTTTGTAAATTTAAATTAAAGATGAATATCGGGAAATAAGGACCACCATATGTGGAAAAAATTTTTTTATTCTTGCCAACGTTTCGTCAAAATTTCTTGACTTCTTCAGGGCTCAAACAATTTATTTAATCCACAACTGTCAAAATTATATAGTCAACAATGATCCAACTAGTCAAACAATATGTCAAGGTATCAATTAAATGTTGATAAATAAATAATTGACTGTAAAACATTATTAAATCCATACACACGTTCCACAATTTCAGTTACAAACTGTAATTTCTACGGATAAATAGAGATGTTTCTTCTTAAAAATTGTCATCATAAGTACTATCCATCACTCTTACGCAACCGGCACATGGATGAGTCAGTTTTTGCGAAATCTTATCCTAGTTAATCTCTAATTGTTAAATAAAAATCTGACAAATTTGAACTCTTGGATTAAAAGGTTTAAGCGTTTTATAATTCGTCAACTATTGAGGACTTAACAACTTTCCATTCGCAAATATCGTAAAATGTCTTAAGCTGAAAAAATTTTAATAATTTGTAAGTTAGCTGCTTATTTTCAATAGAAAAAAAAATTATTTTTATTATTTAATTTATAGCTTATATTTTTTTGTATTATTAATAAATAATTATAATAATACTAATAAAATTCTCTAATTATAAAATTATTATTATTTATTATTCAAAACTTTTTTTTAATTAACAACTAACTCTTGTTAGTTTTAAAAACTAGATGAAAAAAAAAAGTTTACACAAAAGCTCACCGTATTTCCGCAAAAACCTACTTCGATCCTAGATAACAATCCGAAAGTTTATTTTTTAAAATAGGTCATCTATTTTTTTTTCTTTACAAAAAAAAGTTACACTGGAAAAACTCGAGCATAATTTTTTAACAAATAACTATTTTTATATAAGGTATAGAAATATATGCTTCCCTAGTATAGACAAATGGCGTTGGAAGTAGAGAGTTGTAAGAGATTCTTATAAACATCAATTTATCAATAAAAATTTTTTTTTAACTCATATTTACCAATATTTTTATTTTTTTACTAACGATTTTGTGAATTAATAATCATGTATAATTATAAAATATCTATAAATAATTATTTATTTTTATTTTACCGCAAAACGAATTTAATGAACTAAATTAAACGTAATATTAATTAGCATAAACCGATGCAATGTATCAGCAAAGATAATTAATTAAAAATAAATCAATATTAACCCCGATAACTCCGTGATGCAATCACTCTGACCAATAAAAAGGTAATTCAACTTCAAACAACAACTCGATTCGCGGAAGTGGTTGATAATTTTCATACCGCAAAGAATGTATTTGAATTATTATCGCTCAATATCCAATCTTACTGTTAACAATTGTTATTATCGTTATTATTTATCAGATAATTTGCCGGGAAATAAAAGCCACGAGCGTGGAAGCTGTAAAACTAATTGAGTTCGCAATAAACAAATAAACTTCTTGAAAGTAATGATAATAAAAAGAAAGACATAAAAAAGAAAGGCAAAAACCTCATAGTAGGCCAAGAATCCAGACTCTTTGGTGTACTCCCCCGCTTTTCCTCCCCCGCTGGCGGCGGCATGAACCCGGAAGTTATCTGGATTTGACAGCGTGAATGATCTCCCGTAAGTCGGCATTCCGATGACCATCTTCTCCTTGGGTGCTCCCAGTCTCACCCACAAAGCTGCGGCATTGTCGACGCTGAGTTGCTTCTGCCACTCAGAGTCCAGGGATGACGCGTAGAGAGGGGCATTGTGTCCGGTTTCACGCTCCCACTTACCGTGGAAATCGTACGCCATCAAGTTTATGAAGTCCAGGTAACTACGATTATTAATTATCGTTTAGTTGATTAATGGATTGACGGCCATCTAGTATTATATATACTTTCTATTATATACTATATTCTATACACTGCAGAATAGAAGCCTCAGAGTTTTCAATTTCCAAAGCTGATATTTCATCAGTTCAGGTCGACACTCTATGAGAAAGGGTTTATTTGCTAGTAATTAACCACGTTTATTGGAACTCTTTTGAAGTTGTTGGAGATTGACAAATATTTATTTTATTAATATTAAATTTATTGCTGATGTGTTGAAAATAAATATTCGAAATATTTGTAACATTAACGAAATTTAGATTTGTTGAAACAAATATTTGTTTCAGGAAAATAATAATTATTTGGTCGAAATATATTCTGGTATACATTATTAATTAACTGACTTGTGATGGATTTCAATGACAAAAATGTACACGAAAATATATAAAAAATTTATATCCACACATAAATGAGTTTTATATTTATCACTGATAAAAAATAAAGTTGATTTGCGAGAAAAATTCTTGAGCTAAAAAATTGTCCTTGAAAGAATTTTTATTTTCAATCAAGTTCATTTTTTTATTAGTGTATTTTTGCCGAAAACAAAAATGAAAAATTTTGTATACGTGGAAAAAGGAGTAATTTGATTCAAGACCCAAAATGATTAAATCAAGTAAAATTTAATCAAATCGAGAATTTCTTGGTTCAAAAATTTTTCTTATGGATCAAACTAATTTTTGTGTCAATGTGTATATATTATAACTAATAATCATATTTATTATCATTCATGTTCGCTAATATAATATGAAAAAATAAATATGTGTGAATATAAATTTTAATACGTTAAAAAAATTTTTTTTTGTTCAATGGAGGGAAAAATAGGGCTATAAAATAAATTGACGATATTTAAAAATTTTTTCTTGACATTTCACTTGTCAAATCACACCTGGGAGTCATACGTCAAAATCACACTTTACAAAATTCACGCTGGGTCAAATTAATTACCGTCTCTATTTTCTCACATAAAAATTTCTCATTCCAAAATTTGTCCCTGTGCTTCTCATGTTAAAATTTTTGTTAAAAAAGAAATATTCAAAAAAAATTCAGATTGTGGAATTTTGAAGGCATAAAGCTATGTACTTTCAAACACAGTGATCTTTGATTTGGAATTAATAAATTTTTAGTAATAAAAAATTGATCTTATTTATTTAAATCAATTTTTTTTTTTGAGAAAAAAATGAATAAATTTTAAATGCAAGTTTAAATCAATATTTGCCTGATTAAAAAAAATTCTCAGATATTTATGACTCTCACTGAGCTTTAAACGTTAATTGACGAATATTGGAATGATTTCTCAACATGTCAAACAGTATTTTAAGAAATGAATTGATGATATTTTATTCTATCTAAGTGTAAATATTGCAAAGTTTTTATTAAGCAAGCAAATTTCATTAAATCCTAATAAATTATCGTATTAGTTTAGAAGACTACAGACAATAGATTATAGACTGTAGACTACTAAAGCTATAGAGTGAGTAGGGAAGGGGAAGGGCAAAGGGGTAGTAGATTTTGTGCGGCAGTGGGAGTGGATGGCGACAAAGATGGATGGATGGGTGTATGGATGTGGGGATTATTTATACAGTGGAAGCTTAAATTACGTGGGACACAATGTGTCTGGATAATTATAACTGTTCCTGATGCTTCAGCCGTCCGTTTAGTCGGCGCGCCCGGGTGCACAGACTACCCAGCGGAACTTGTACTGATAGGACCGGACTATCGCCATAATTCTATCAATTAACGATTCTACCACTTGATCTGGGACGCGTTTGCTGTCGATGTTGATTTATTGCACCTAAAGAGCTGTCTAACCAATTAGTGATTGTGATTACCTCGCTACTGCCGGTACATCATATCCGCTTTTCACGTTGTCCGGGCCAACTGGCACTGCTGCGGTCAACAATAGTCTCGGCTTCTTTCGCTCTTGGGCTTCTGCTTCGAATGCTTCTCGTAGTTCTAAAATTGTTTTTTTTTTTATTATTATTTTCGGGTCACTTTTCATTATCGAGAGATGTGATTCATTAGCTTGTGATCGTTACTGAAATCTTGTTAGAGAATTTAGTGTGTGAAAGGAGTTGATATACAATATCATGCTTTTTGTTCTGTCGATGGCTAGCTGTGTATGATGTATTGTACTTTCGTTAATTAAAATTGCTAAAACTAAAGGTTCTTTTAATGAATGTGTATTTTAATATTGAAATTATTTTACTAATTTAATATTTATTGATTTTATTGTTACTATAAAACGTCAATTAAAAGGTTAAAATTAATTAAAAACTTTTTCTTTCAATTATATTTTTATGAACGAGAACAAATATTGAAATTTATTCTTGAAAACCATTTTTTTTCTATTATTATTATTATTATTATTATTATTATTATTATTATTATTATTATTATTATTATTATTATTATTATTATTGTATTAATAAGATGGGTGATTTTTTATTTATTTTGAAATTAAGTTTTCATTTTAACGAAACTCAATCCATTTTTGATAAACATAACTAAGGTAAAGTACCCAGTAGTTGAACAGGTTTCAAAGTAAAACGTATTTGACCCTACTTTTAATGTATAAAGATGTAATTATTAGTTCAAATTAGTGATTTTCATGAAAATATAAACAATTTTGAATTGATTGAAGTGCAAAATAACGCAAATAATTGAATATTTATAATTTGACAACGTTTTTAAGATAGACTATGAAAGGAGTATTAGTTGAACAATCAATTCTGACAAGCCGCAGTAGTTGAACACTCCGGGAGCAATAGTTGAACTAATAAAATATATGGCAATAGGCAAACCAAAAATTTTTAACGTGTTATTGAAATATTCAAAGATTTATAACATATCATTGAATAATACTAAAAATAATACTATAAATATTTAATAGATTCATTTAAAAATGAAAAATATTTGTATTAAATTTTTTAATTACATTTTTTATGAATGAAAAAGTTGATTTTCAATTTTAAATCAAAAA